GTAAAGGAAGACGATAATCTAAAAGTACTAACTATAATACTAGACCCTCGCTATATATTATTTAGTATATAAATAGATAAATAAGACTATAACCTAGCTATCTATATACTCTAAACCTCTACGATCTAACTAAGCGATAAGTTCTAAGCAAAAGTTAAAGATAGCTATAAGACTAATCTACGCTAGAAGATAGTTATTTAGAAGCTTAAAAATATAGCGAACGAAGGAGACGATATAATAGCGAAACTACCGTACGCTATAAAAGATAGGCTATTATACTCGCTATAAAAGGACGGTAGCTATTAGCTATACGTTCTAAAGTTACTTTAGAAGGATATATTCTAGCTTATCTATAACGATTAGGGATACTAAGGCTTTAAATAATATAAAGTAAAGATAGCCGGACTAATAATTTACTATAAAATATATAAACTAAAGACGTATATTAAATATTATCCTAAGTACCTATATAATAATATAAGAAGGTACTAATTATATAGTATTTTATAACTAATTATATCCCTACCGATACTATATTATATAATCTATATCGATTTTATTATAGGGCTACTAATATCTAAGAAAGATTTCGATATAGTAGTATACCTAATATATAAATTTATAAAGCGTCTAAGCGTAGTCTTAGGGAAATTAATCTAGACGAGCGAAGAATAGGCCCTAGTAGTACTAGCGTTCTTATAGATAGTAGATTAGGATATTCCTATAGTATAGATTAGCGACTATAATCCTAAATTTACTAAAAGATTCTAAAAAGCTATATTTATTATACTATAAGTCTTACTATTCTATACCGCGGCCTACTATATATAAGTAGACGGATAAAGCGAAAGGACTAACTAAACTACTAAGATCTAGCTCTATTATTACTATACTTTCTACCGCGTAGTAGATTAGCCGAACGGCCTACTAAGATTAATTATAGTAATAAATAGCTTAGTCTTAGTAGCTATACGCGAGATATTATATAAGCTCCTATTCGGCGTAAACCTTCGAATACTATAGAACCTACTATAAATAGTACTAGGCAGATAGTAAGATACCTTAGCTCGCTAGGATATTATTAAATACCTAAAGTACGCGGCTATTAAGATAAAGAAGTACTATAACCGTACCTATCTACCGAAGTACTTTATAGTAGGTAATAGAGTACTACTCTAGCTATAGAAAGATTATAATATTCCTATTAATAATATATATACTAAAAAGCTAGGATAGTAGTATATAAGATACTTTATAGTACTAAAATATATTAGACGACTTACTTACTAGATCGATATTCTTATAATATAAAAGATATATCTAGTTATTAGTATCGAGTATTTAGAGCTAGCGCCTAGCCCGAATCTATTTGATAAGAAAGCCGTAGAACTAAAAGCTATATTCGACGAACGCTTCCCGGATAATACCGACTACTATAAAGTAGAACGGGTCCTCGATATATAGATATATCGCGCGGGATAATATAGAATACCCTAGATAGACTACCTAATATAATAGCGTAGCTAGTTAAGAGAGGAAGCCGAATAGGTTAAAGAAAGAGATATAGTCGGTATAGAAGAAGCGATCGATAAGTTTAACTAATAGCGATAATAAAGAACGCTTAATCTATTTATAATAGTATTACTTATTAAGACGATATAAATTAATACTATAAATAAAACCTCCTTTATAAATCTTACTTTTATATTTTTCTTAATAATTTACCTCTACTATTCCTATCCTTACTCCCTCTTTACTCGAATCGCTATATCTATACTAATCTATAAATAATTTTAACTCCTATTCTAATTTTAATTAACTCCTAATCCGAATCTAACTAATCTTAATCCTATCTTACTTACTTCTAAGTTACTAACTTACTTTTACTAACCTTTATTTACGATCTTATCTATATACGTATTTATAATCTTATCTATATACGCGTATTAACCCTATATACTAAGATAGATACCCTAATACCGGAGGAAAAGAGGCTAGCGCTAGAAATTAAACCGCTATAGGAATAGTATAATAATAAATTCGCGCGATAGCTCGCTAGGAGCTAGCTAAATATAATAAACTAATAGATAAATAGTAATAATAATAGTAAAGAATTCGAGTAGAGTAAAAGGTAATATAGCGGATATAATAACTAGAAGCTAATATCGCTACTACTATAGTATTAACTTTTCGATAGATTAGGTAGCGTACTCTAAGAACTAAAGTACGTCCGCCTAATAAACAACGCTATAATTATATCGATCTATATTTATAATAAGTAATACTATATAACCTTCCTATTATAGGACTTCGACTCTAAAAGGGAGATCCGGAAGATACGCGTACCTATCGGACTAACGATTATAATTATATAGAACGGCCTTAAGATTATATCTATTTAGAAGGACTAATACGCCTTTACCGGCGGTATAAATAATTATAGATAACTACTAAGTAGTAACCTCGGACTAGTTAACTATTTTATAGCCGGCCTAGTACTATTAGTAAAGGAGCCTATTATATCGATAAATATTACGCTCGATAATTACGAATCTTAAGCTAGTAGTCTACTAATTAATAGATAGACTATATACGCCCGCGATAATAAGATTTACTTCGAAGGGAATTAGCGCGCTTACTACCTAATACTTATTATTACCGAAAAAGGAGGAATAATTAATATATTATAAAGATAGAAATACTTCTACCTTAAGATTTATTAATCTGCGAATAAAGATAACCCCTACGAGATTTGCTTATAGACCCTTAATTAAATAAAGGAAGATTATAAGATAGTATTATATAATAGCTAGATAAAAGAAACTACTATCGCTAAGCGAACTAATACTCTATTTATATAGGAAGAGATTATAAAATTATATTCGTCTTAATACCGTAAAATAAGATTATTTATAACTATAATAGTCGTATCTACGAAGCGTTATAAAATAAAAATACTTACCGCTATTACCTTAATTACTAATTCGACCCTAGAGCTAGAGGATAGTAATATAATATAACTAGTAAGTAGAGCTAAAGTCTAAACTAAAGACGCGGCTATAATAATAGATAATATAGAGTAGAATATTAATATCGTAACGATTCCTATACCCGAAGTTTACTTAATCGAAACGTAATAGAGCCTCCCGATCTTATAATCCTTTTATAACCTCGCGAGGCTAGAAATAGCCCGATCGTTCCTAGTACTAATAATAGCGGCTAGCTATCTAGAAGCGCTTATAGCTAGTTATATAGTAAGTAGAAAAGCTCTAATATTCCTACGTCTAGCTAGTAAGTATAATATAAATAATAAGGAAGTAAATATTCTATTTTAATATACTAGATAATAAATACTCCCTATATATATAAATAATACACTTTCGAGTATTAAAATAGAAGCGGAGAGTATATATATTCGGGATATACTACGCTTTATATAGAGCCTATCGGTCTTCTTTATAGCTATAAGTAACAAACGATAGGAGGACCCTACGATCGGTATCCTTATTAACCTACGTAATAAATAGGCGAAGCTACTACCTATACGGTACCTAAGCGTCGTAGTAGAACTATCACGAATTCGTATCCTAGCGCTACCTAAAGATACCGGGAAGATATAGGGTAGCGTTATACCCGACCACTCGCTATAGGCGGACTAATTAAACTTGCTTCCGTAGTATCTACCGATAACTCCTTACTATAACAATATCGTAGACGATAGAGGGAAGGCTTTACTTATCGCTTTATTTATATATGATGTTTCTCTTTGCTTATTTGATATTTCTCGCATTTCCCGCTACGGCCGGGGCGGCCGAGCCTTTCGGCGGCGGCAGATGTTATATAATAGTAGTTAGTCAGCACAGACCCGCTGCCCCTCCATAGGCAGCGTGGGCTTGCTACGAATAGAAACCATCTTGCCTTCCCCTGACTATCAGTGTAACAACTTTTCCAACATTGAAATTTAGAAGGAAACCTAAGGATGGACCTAAAGCCGTCTAGTCAGAGGTCTTTCCTTTGACAACACGGAGACCTAGCGTGACCTATGAAGTATAGGCTGTAAGGCACTAGTTAGCCAATGAGAAAGTTATGTGATGGTGAGCCCTATAGTCGCCCGTACGCGAGTCCAAAAGCTCACAGAGCTTCGCGAAAAGCTACAGAAAGCATGGCGAACAGCAACCGAAACACAAGCGTTCCACTACAACAAGCGTCACAAAGAAATGACATTCAAGAAGAACGACTTAGTAGCCCTATCGACGAAAAACCTACGGTTAAAAGAAGGCACCACAAAGAAGCTGTCACCACCATAGATTGGACCTTTCAGAATCCTCGAATGCGTCGGGAAATAGGCGTATCGCCTCCTACTCCCCAGCCAATATACAGCGATTCACAACGTTTTCCGTATTTCCCTACTTCAGCCATGGCATCAACGAGAGGGTGAACCAGAACAATTGCCTTTGCTAGAGCTAGCGGAGGATGACGAATGGGAAGTCGAAGAAATCAAGGACCACTATATATTCGAAGATGAATTACACTACTTGGTGAAGTGGTACGGTTGGCCATCGGAATATAATAAATAGGTACCTGAAAGCTCAATGGCAAATGCGCCGAAGATCATATTGAGATATCAGAAGTCCTTAAAGAAAAAAGCAAAATGAATTATCCCGGGCGGCCTGGATCAACTCCCGGATATCCTCGCGGAAGGCCATGACCCCGGTATACCAACTGCGAGCCGACTCCTCGGCCACCCGCAAACGAGGGTAATGGCTGGCCTCATTGGCTAGTTTTTCCCAATCGGAAGCTGTGACAGAAATGGGCATTAGCTTCACCCGAAGGCTACAAGTAACTAGCACTGCGTAGAAGTGCGAGCCCATTGCGGGTGTCCCCCCTCACTCCCACAATAGAGATACGCCGTCTCTAAAGTAGGAGTTTTGAGGGAGGTCGTGGGTCATTATATATCAGGCACTTGATCGTGTCAAGTGCCCTCAATATATCTTCATCTGTCATCGCAGCTCATGGGTCTTAGGACGTATCCTCGCCATGTCGCATGTACCGGACCATGAAGCTAGTACGAGTTGGGGCGGGCGGGAATGGGAGTAGCGCGGGGGCGGGCGGCGAGTCGAGCGGAACGGCGGCGGGGGGAGGAGATTGGGGGGTTTCGGGGGTGGGGGATGGAGGAGCGCTGAGGTGACGTAGCTGTATAGCTTCATGGTCGGCTTGCTGCTCGGGATCAGGAGTTGTTTCCCTAGGATCGGTTCCCGGCGAGGAACGTCTCCGTCTGCAGCAGCAGAAAAACTCCCTGAAAGATTGTCAAGTGCCCTCAATATATCTTCATCTGTCAACGCAGCTCACGGGTCTTAGGACGTATCCTCGCCATGTCGCATGTACCGGACCATGAAGCTAGTACGAGTTGGGGCGGGCGGGAATGGGAGCGGCGAGTCGAGCGGAACGGCGGCGGGGCTGTGGGCCCTGGACTTTTTTTTGCCGCGCGGGCTCGGGGGTTGCACGGAGGCGACCTAGGGGTGGGGTATACTGACAGCGAGTCAGGAGAAGAGAGATCAGCAATGCAATGATATTCGTGCTAACTGCTGATGATTGATGGATGAGAAGGGGAAAAGAAGAAGAAGAGGAGAGAGAGGAGACTATCTGGTAGTTGCCTTTTTATCACCGCCTTTTTGAAACATATATGATGGAATAAATACGGCGTATTTTCCACTAGACCATAACAAAAACCTCGGTTCCTGTTTAGGGCCTAGGGAGGCCATATCCCAGTCTGACAATATACGCTAATTTCAATTTGTATACAACACCACCCCTAAACTAGCGGCCAAGAGATCTGCAAATTTTCTTCAAATTTTCTTCAAATTCAATTCAAATTTAATTCAGATTCATTTCAGATTCATTTCAATTACTGCCTGGTCATATGAACCAATGAGAGAGTTATGTGCCGGTGGCATACTTAATCGCCCGTAGGGGTATAGCTTCATGGTCGGCCTGCTACTCGAGATCAGGAGATGCCCTAGGATCGGTTCCCGGCGAGGAACGTCTCCGTCCGTAGAAAAACTCCCTGAAAGATTTGTCTGACGCCCTCCATGTGACGAGGACGCCAACCACGATGCCCACGATTGCGATGACTGAACTGATTAGCGTCGATCGCCAGTCAGCCTTCGGCCATGGTTGATGTAAAGGGAAGGGGGAGGGTACAGTACTTAGCTTTGATTAGGGCTTTTCGTTTAATACTTGCTTTGGAATAGTGAAACAAAAATTGATGGCATGAAGAAAAAGAAAAGTCCAACATGGAATGTGATAACATGAAGAAGAAAAGTCCAACATGGCTGGTTTGAGAGTTAAGTAGTCAATGAAATTATTCTTATTCTACATTATGGAAAGAGCGATTCTACTGATGTGTTATAGAGGCCGTAAAAGTAGGGCAAGAACGTTGAAGACTCCACAAGTGTCATATTGGATTGATAGGATAAGCTAGGGCTAGTGAGTATTGTGGCTAAGAAATTCACACAACTATATAGTTCAAACGGCCAATTGGCTATTCAGTTCCGTTTACTGTCTTCAAAATAATAGTATCACCAGGTAATAGGAGAATGACTCCAGGGCGAGATAAACTAACAGGGCCTCCTTGGACATAAGCTTCGGTTTCTATCCTTTTTTCTGGACATCTGGACATATCTAAGCCACTAGCTCCACTAGATAATTACCTTGTTTCGGTGGCTAGAATCTGGTGACAGCGTCAGCATCGATACGTTCAGCTTCGGAGATAGAAGATGTCATTAATTATTTCCTCTTTATGCGTAATGTATAAAGTAAGAGCCGCTGCTGTTTCGATGATACCCAGTTCGAGGTATTATTTGTCCTAATCATGTATCGCCCCAAGAATGTCCTCAGTGTACTCTCAGTCAATGCAGAATCGAAGGAAGAGGATTTCGGATTTCGTGACATCCATCTTGATAAAGTGTTCCTACTGTTACTTGCGTGCTTGTGCCTCCTATCCGATCTGCAACCATTGAGCCTTTCCTGCTGTTACCCCGACTTTCACCATATCGGAGGGGAACTACAAATTACTCTCTCGGTTTTACTCATGTACCTCCTGATCCCTTCAGTTTAGTGCTCTTTGTTCCCGTGTGTTCCTGTGCGTTCCTGTGCGTGGTTGATTCTATATAATCCCTCTTATAGCTCTAATGTTTCAGGACTTCCGCACATTCGAACATATGTGGTTAGTCGCCCGTACGGGGGTGTACAGCGGGACATGGCGGTACATTAGACGGGCATTTGATTGGTGTTGTATATATCCCGAGGCATTCAACGAACTCCTGTCTTGAATGGAGGAAATGCGGGTCCAAAAAGTGCTAGAATAATACAACGAAGAGGCGTAGGAAATGGAAAACTAACTAACACAATATATCTGTTATGGATATAATATTTCCTCACTTGTTGGATGTCCACGACAAGCATGATTTTCATTGCTTAGTGCTCCTCCACATTAATGAATGGGCTTTGGAGAGTTCAAGTAGAACCACATTGACGATAACCGACAAACATAGCCAAAGCTGGTCAACCCAATCTCGAGATCCTTCGGGCAGCCGTTCTCAATTTGATTTGATTCTGCCGGGTCATCTGAGAAAAGAAAATAATAAAAAAATAGACACTGCCGGTAGATGCGAACACACCAAACCATAAACCGGCTAGGTCATCTAGTCAAATAGACAAGAACAGGTGATAGGTAAGGGTCTCCGGTACCATCTGCATATGTGTTATGCCCAGTACAATTTTGGGGCATTGTCTCGAGATTGCGCTTTGTGTGCTGGCGGAAAGGAAAGTCTCTGCGGGAATTTCGAAGCAAAATCTTTCAGGGCCAAATTAAAAGCTGGTTGCTGCTAAGGAAGCTCTAGTGATAGAGAGAAAGGTGCGGTGTGGTCTGTTCCAGAGAGCGAAGCATGGTGTCGAAGTGCCCGAGGGTAATTGGCACAAACTCACGATCTGTCAAGAGTTTCGGATGTTGTGGTTGCTGTGTCAGTTTGATATACAAAATAATCTGCTTCCCGAAGCCTAGAGATAGGGAACCTCGAGGCTATCTTTCTGACTTGTGGTTCGATATAAATTGTCAGAGGTTGACTTTGATCAAGTTCAACTGTGCATCTGCCGTCTGTTGACAGCGCTTTTATGGGAAACGCTCCAATTTATCTGCTAACTTCAGGAGATCTAGGAGTTCCTTCTTCGTTCCAGAATCCTCGGTACCAGGATCATCTCGGATAAGCAAGTAGCCCTCCCAGCCTGCATCCGTTGCAGCCATGCAATCCTTTTTATAATCATCCCCCACATGCACAGAGCTGAATTTGGTTTTTCTGGTCAACCATGGGCGGGAAAGCTTTAGAGCCTGCCGTCTCGCCACGTCAAATATCAAACGATGAGGTTTCTCTTGGCCGGCCTCGTAACTTGTAATGACCATGTCAATGTCGAGTTTAAGGTTGCGATCTGCATGATATTTGTTGTCTTCACTGGCAGTATCTTGTTTGATGTTTCGTTCCTCGAACCCTGGAAGATCTATACTCGATTTATCCTGGTCTGCGCGCATATCACCAACCGTCAAGCCCAACGACTTCAGCACGGCGGGGACGCGGTCATCCGAATTGGATATCACCCCCACAATAATCCTATCAAATGACCACTTATGCGCGGACTTGAGTTTGTGCATTCGGCGGAAGAAGGGTAGCACATCGTCATACAGCGCGTACCCCTCGGCGCCAGCAAATCGATCGAGTAGGGCTTTCACCATGGCATCAGGAACATGCTCTTTGGAGGTTTCAGGACGCGTCTCCCCATTCTCCGTGGACAAAACACGTTGGAAACTCCCCCTGATTACCTCCTCCCACCACTGTCTCGGCCCCCCATATTGTCCTCGGAGAACATCTGCGCGACCGTAATTTGGGTACTGACGCATCCGCGCACGATATGTGTCCCGGAAGGCTGTTTCGAGTTTATCCGGGGTGACGGTGGTGCGCGATAATCCGAACTGGTGCGCGGTCGCGGCATATTGCTCGGGGATGGGGAGACGCGGGTGGAAAAGGGTGCCGAACGCATCGAAGGTGAGGAGAAGAGTACGTGAAGATGCTGGTACAAGGCGGGTGGCTGGGGTCGACATTTTGTGTCTGGAGGACAGTGATCTATCTCGGTTAATACAAGGGGTGTTGGAGATGTGTTGGAGATGTTGAGCTTCACGCCCAATGCCACGCACGGCCCCACTCTTCTGTTAACTCCCCTCATCTTCCCCGTCTTTCCCATATTCAAGTTCTATACTACATACACTTTTAGTATATGTCTCACCTAGATCTCTGTTAATTGAATTGGGTTAGAAGCAAACTTTCCTAGTTAATAAAATTTTAATAAAATTTATGAGGGAATAAATGCCATAGTGAAGACGTATGGCGAGCAGGGCATTCATATAGCTGTTGAAGTTAAGAGATATATAATAACTAGCAAACGCCTTCATTCCACCATGAACGTATTGGATTATATACTTTTAGGTTTTATCTAAATTGAGTACTACTTCTACTCCGTACATCGTTAGCCCTTAGCTCCACCGGATGATCCTAGTAATAGAGCCACTTATAACTACTTCGGTATTAATGCCTGCGCTGTCACTTAGAAGCACTCGATCACCTCTCACCCCGTAATATTAGAAATGAAGAATGGGTATCAAAGAATTTACAGGACTCCGAGTATCCGATGGAAGAAATTTATGGTTCGGCCTATCGTCGGCATTACTGCAGTCTCGCCCAATTCTGTGTGGGTCACATAACGTAGATAAATTTGTAGCGTAGAGTGTTTGTCTTCCAAGGTTACTTTTAGAAGGTGATTCTGCTTACGATATGCTTGGTAAGAATGTTGGAATATCCACTATCTACTTGGCAAATGTTCCAGAACTTTATTCTACGAGTATCCAAGTGCTCAGGTATATGTGGAACAGTGGCTGAGAGACAGAGGACTTGGTAAACGCCTCTTATGTGACTACAAATATACAAATGCACGAATCAAACTTGAGGGAACATGTACCCCGTAAAGCTGCAGCTTGATTATATGCATGTCAGCGGCAGAGCTTGGCTAGGAAAACGCTCTTCCGGGAGAGTAAAGGGATACCAAGACATTTCGGTGTGCCCTACAACATAAAGACTACCCAGGTCATAATGGGAGTGGAGCCATGTTTATTCAGTTTGAAACTTCTTAAAACAGCCCCAAGTTAAGCGCTACGGAGTACAACATTCAGGACCAACATACCTGTACAAATCTCGAAACTGAGTAACTGTTTTCTCACTTCTTTGTGATCATGTGCCGGCTAAACGCTCAAACGGAAACTGTCAGGACTGTTAGAAAACCTAGTGCTCTTATCTGATCGCACTAGACCTAATCGGTGACATTTGAGGAAATTAAATATCCACGACGAGCCATGTTTCGCCATGTTTCTGACAAAGTCTTCAACAATGGATCCACCGGGTTTGACAGGATGGGTCCGGCACACTTGTCGCGAAACAGTTAAAATGACCAACTCCCGTCCCTGACAGGGGTTCTAGATTGGGATTTCGTAGTGAGATCTTATTCCTTCATAAAAGTCAAAATGAGGATCTTCCAGGCTGGCCCTCTCGCCATTGCTCTCTCTGTCTTTACAGGAGTTGCCTCCGCTTCCATTTTCCAGAACCACACTTATGACTACATTGTAGTCGGTGGTGGCCCTTCCGGTATCATCAGCGCCGAGAAGTTCGCGAAGGCAGGAAAGAAAGTTCTCCTCCTTGAGCGAGGTGTCGGACCAACTGTCGCCACCGGTAACAATGAGACACTCACATGGGACCACTCATTGACTCCCATCGATCTTCCGGGCCTGTCCGCCAATATCGGCGCGCTCGATGTCTGGAACCAGTATATGTGCACCGACACCGCTGGCAATGCTGCCTGTGTGCTTGGCGGTGGTGTAACTGTCAACTATATGGTCTTCGTCCACCCACCAGCCCGTGACTTCGACGACAAATGGCCCAAGGGTTGGAAGTGGAAGGACGTTGAGTCGGCTGCAGACCGACTCTACAAGCGCAACCCCGGAACTACCCTGCCCTCTGCCGATGGCAAGCGATACGACCAGAGTCTTTACGCTGTACTGTCCAAGTTCCTCGGTGGCCTTGGTTGGAAGTCCGTGGATATGATCGAGCAGCCGAATGAGAAGCACCAGATCTACAGCTACCCGTCCTGGAACGTGCAGGACCAGATGCGTGCAGGCCCTGTCCGCACCTATCTCCCCGATGCTGTCAAGCTGAACAACTTCCACCTTGCTCTCCGTACCAAGGTTATTCGCTTGGTCCGTTCCGGCGGTCATGTCACTGGCGTCGAGATTCAGACTGCCTCGGGCCGCTCCGAGGTCATCAGCGTTGCTCCCCACGGTCGCGTGGTGCTGGCTGCCGGTGCTCTGTCTACTCCCCGCCTGTTGTGGAACTCCGGTATTGGTGGTAAGACCCAGATTGAAACTGCGAAGAAGAGCGGTGTTGCCGTTCCTCCCAAGGCTCAGTGGATTGACCTGCCTGTCGGCGTGGGTCTCATGGACCACCCCATTTTCCCGATCACCTTCAACACCAACGCCTCATTTGGCCTTGTTGATTACGAGGGGGTCCTTAACGGAACCGACTCTCGCGATATCTCCCTCTACCGCAAGGGCAACGGTGTGCTGACCCAGGGCAAGCACCGCATGATTTTCTTCACCTCGGAGGAGATTGATGGCCACACTCAGTACTACCAGGGCTCGTGCGCGCCTACTGATGAGGGCGTGGTAACGATCACCGCGTACATGACCCATGGACTCACGTCGACCGGTGTTCTGGGACTTGATGTCAGTGGAAAGACTGTCATTGAGAAGTCGCCTTACCTCCAGACCGCTGCTGACCGGAAGGCCGCCCGCACTTTCGTTCAGAAAATGGTCCAGGACATCACGGCGCCCTCCACTGGGTTTGAGCTGGAGACTAACACCAATGTCTCGGCCATCATTAAGGCCCAGACTCCTGGTACACACTACACCAGCACCGCTAAGATGGGTACCGATGATGGCCGCAAGAATGGCACTTCCGTTGTCGATACCAACACCAAGGTTTACGGAGTGGATAATTTGGTAAGTGGGCCGGAATAATTTGGTTGCTCAAACGAGGATGCTAATCCCCCCTTTTCTCCTCAGTTCATTGTTGATGCCAGTATCCACCCCGACCTTCCGACCGGTAATATTCAAGCTGCCGTCATGGTGGTTGCCGAAGCCGCTGCCGTTAAGATCTTGTCCAACTAGGCTAGTTCATTATTGGGGCAATAACCCTGGAGGCGATCAGCGTGAGGGCCTGCAACCCCACCACATATTGTAGGATACATTGTAGTATAGTTACATAACTAGTCAACCATTAGGATAGAGTATAAAAATTCTCACTCAATTCAGGATTTACAGACATATCCACACATGAAAAGCATGGTGTCATTGACCAAAATTGATATACAACATAGTTTATATGTAAATAATCAAATGTACCCCTGAAGATCCATCAAAAATTTCCAAACTCAACGGCTTTTTGACTTTTCCACTTTTTCCATTAAATAGATGTGCAGATATTACGGGCGACGAAGTACGGAGTACGGAGTAGGCCAAACACAACTCTCTTATTGGATAAGATAATATTGCCCGCAGTAATTCGATCATATACATATTTAATAGGGGGCATACAAATTCTCGTGAGAAATCACGGTCAGTCAATATCCAATAAGAGGGTTGTGTTCAGGTCCTTTTGGGTATTGTACTAAGAAATGATCCTATATGGAAAAGATTAATCCTAAAAAATGATCCTATAACTATGTAAAAGATTAATCCTAAGATATTACCCCCCAAGGTGGCGTTAGCCTAGCGGCAACACCTTGTGGGGCAGGGAGTGCCAACTCCCCCCGAGGCAGAACTCCAAAATGCTCGTCGGTCGACCCTCCGCTTCAACATTCAACAGAAGTGGAGCCAAAATATCCTGGAGGATATTGTTGGACAATTCTCATCATCAACTACACTTGATGAAGACGGTGATAGGTCATCACAAAACTGAATCTTTGGTATCTCACCTAAATGGGTGTTTCTTTTTTTACCTTTTTTTTTTCCTTTAATTATTATTGGTTTATACTGCCTGTCCGCTTTCACCACCGCCTTCTCCAAGCTGCAAGCATATACTAGTTAATTTCTCTCCATTCCTTTCCTTTTCCTTTCGACATTATTTCATCGGAGCTGTGTACAGCTGTGTACCACTGTTGCCCCTGTTCCTGTTACCCCTGTCAATCCCCTGAGGATATTCCAACTGGTGATCTCGGTGATATCATTACCAAAGCTCAGATATGTGATTGCCGAACAAATAACTCACAACTAACGGACTAACGGGAATCAAGCCCACTGGACTATTTGATATTTCTTTAACCCACTGTGGAGGACTAATATTACAATCAGCATTGATATTCCCACGTGGAGTTTAACCTTCTTCTTAATATTTGTTCTGGCAGATAGACTGCTGATCTCAAGGGACCTTAGCACAGGAGACCACCAATCATTAGCCATTCCGATCAGCAAGGTTGGCAGTCGTGTCGATCCCCGGTTGACTTCTAATGTTTTCTCGTTTGCCCCCCACGACCCTATCCATAACAAATGCCGGTGGATTTGATCTCGGAGTCCTCACTGTCATGGTGGTATGGAGTCCGGAATACTTTGAAGGCCAGACAGAATATCTGGCAATGTGCCCCTATAATTGGCATGCTTCTTTTTCATGTCCCGACCGTGGAGTTCCTGACTCAAAAATGAGCGGGATTTGCCCGACAATGGGTCTCATCCTGACAGTTCGAGTGGGAACTACCCCCCCGGTTTTGTTCTAGAGTCGAGTGGATGATCTGCAAAGTGGCTAATGAAGATAGGCCTCATATGAAGCTTATAGTGGAGCTAAAACCGTGTACCAGAGCCTGGCAGCGGCTTTGTTGGCCACTCAGCATGAAGCTTACGTCTTGGTAGATGAAACAGGAACGCTATTGCTCCATTCTCCCATCGGACTCATTTTGCGAGACGAGCAGCCCCTCTGTCAAGCCATCTGTTAGCTCAGGAGTACACCCGACGACGTCAACAGACGAGGGATCGGACTCATGCCAACGCTGATCCCCTACTAACAGTTATTGTATATAACCCGAGACGTCTTGCCGTGATGTTTGGACCCTAAGAACTTTCTTCTTGTCATTCCTTACCAAGTCATTCCTTAATCTCGGTTTATACCGTCCATTCATTTGTACCAAAGTCTTTGAACTTATTCCACTCACTAAACGACAAGATGAGATCTTTCGCCTTCTCCGCCGCCCTTATGGCCTCAACTGCTATGGCCCTGCCAGCCAACATCATCCCTTCGGGCACCACCGGCTCTTTGCCTTCCGGAATTCCCTCTTGCCTGCCCTCCGGCGTCATCCCCTCTGGCATCCCTCTGCCTGTGGTATCTCTGATCCCTACCTGCTCCGGTGCCGCCTCATCCTCAATCTCCGACTTGCCCATCCCTACCGGCGCTGCCTCCAGCATGACCGAGGGCGCCGGCGCCGGCCAGGTTCTTTCCATCCTCAACCAGGCCGGAACCTCAAACGTCAAGATGATGGCCGAGTCTGAGCTCCAGAGCCTGATGAGCAAGCTGCCCCTCAGCGCTCTTGAGAAGCCCGTTGGCCAGGTCATCCAGACTGCTAAGTCCGTCGACCAGCTCGACACCAGCAGCGGCTCCGGCCTCACCCACGTCACTGCTGTCCTCGAGAATGGCAACGCCGCCCTCATCAAGTTGACCCAGGAAGTCGTTGATCTCCTCTCCAGTCTCGGCCTCGGCGAGGTTGGCAGCCTTCTCGGCTCCCTCGTTGGTGGCCTTGAGTCCATCACCGGCAACATCAAGCGTGCCGACCCTCTCCAGAATGTTCTCTCCATCACTGACGTGAACGGCCTCGCTGGTGGCAAGGACCTTCTCTTCCAGGTTGAGCCTACCCTCCTCGGTCTCCTCAGCGGTCTTGACCTCTCCTCTGTTCAGGGCCCCGTTGGCAACGTTGTCGCCATGGCTCCCTCCGTCTCCGAGCTCAAGTCCAAGATCCCCAGCATCCCCGGTGCTGACTTCATTGCTGTCAACGCTGAGGACAAGGTTTCCGTCCTTTTGGTTAAGGTCAACGGCGTTGGCCAGGGTCTCCTCTCCACTCTTGGCCTCGGCAGCCTCGGCACTGCCATTGGCTCCATTGTCACCTCCGCCAAGGGTGCTGCTCCCCTGTAAACATTCTACCCTTGATGGGATGATCGTTCTCTACCATTCACCAATTCCGTATTTTATATAAAGGGAGTACGACCCCGTGGTTTGCTTTGGAACTAGCGCATGGAACAATGACGAACACAATGGTCCCCCTTCTCCCTTCTACCTACTTCTTAAACATTACTATGTTTTGTATAGTGTATAACTATACCCTCGATAAATGTTCTATATGTCCGAATTAAGCTAATTATGTCCAAAACAAAAAAGTCCGTTTGTAAGGGTGTTCAAAAACACGAACTTGGAAATAGACCCATGACCCGTGATTCCACTGTATGTTGTAGGTCGTTCAGTGGCACATTCCACCCCAGTAACTCTCTCCACCCTGGTCGTACGGGTTCGATGCATCCTTGCACTGAGGGCTCTCATAGTCCTGGATCGTACCCATGGGCCAGATAGGCACGACACAAATCTCATTCGCCGCACAACCACTGCACTCCTTCCACGTCGCCCAATCCAGATAACCAACCAGATCCCGAACAACCCGAACCGCAGCCTCAAGGTCATTTTCCTTCCCAGCCTCGATCAAAGACGAGCAGATTTTGTAAGCGACACCGTGAACAGCCTGCACCGCAAGACCCCCACTTCCCAAAGCTCCCAACGGCAAGAATTGAGTCGCACAACGCTCGCTCTCAGCAACATCATCTCGCTCACTGTAATCAATGAACGGAGACAAGACACGCTCAACCTCGGACTGCAGCCGCTCGATTGACTCAATACTACCGGAAATAAAATATGATAGCTCCTTGCTGTACCGAGTCACGATCATATCCGTAATCGCTTGCCAGTCCTCGCTGACATCGGCAGCATTCTGCGTCAAGATCAGAGATGTGACCTCGGAACGGAGAAAAGCCCGACTCCTAGGAGAGAGGCTGGCAAGTCGGGGGAGGGTTGGATTATCTCGGAAAAGGTCCACGTTGTGAGAGAAGGCCGTCACGAAGTGGTTGAAGTTCAGCGAAACTCGGTTCCCACCGATTCCGTTGTAGCGCGCGGTGATTGCGCGCATCCATCGCGATGAGTCAGGGCCTCCTCCAGGGCCTCCAGGACCACCGGGGCCGTGTCGCTTTCCGTCATCCTCCTTCCCTGGACCAGGACTGCCGTGGTGCTTGTCACCATCCTCTTTGTGAGACCCACCCCCGTCGCCATGTTTACGGTTACCACTAGGTCCACGTTGCTTCTCAGAGTTCTGCTTGACCTGCGTGATTCGCACGGGGGTTAGATCGCGCCCAAAGTCGCACAGGATAATCTCAAAGCCAGCTTCCATGCGTAGAACACCGTCGATGCGACCCTCCCATTCATTCTCGGCCATCTCGCAAGCTAGTCTGGCACGTTCGTTCTCCTGCCCATTACCCCGACTCGGAGAATCATCTAGTGCGCCGTTGAACAAAATCGCATCCTGGGAATCAAGTGTGCCCTTCGATGTCTTGGCAGCAGACATACCATCGAGATACAAAAGACGGAGATCCTTGGCTGCAGCGTACGTATGCAAATACCCGGCCTCATTCTCATCGAATGCCATTGGTGGGCGACCACCTGTCGGGCCATGGTGTTTCTCATCTGTGTCATGAGGTTCCCGCTTCCGCAGCTCACCATGGCCTCCATCCTGTGGCTCGGTGTCATCATCATCGGATGGTAGGTGTGACGGGGGCCCCGCGTCGGGGCCGGGCGAAGACCATTGCATGTTCAGGCTCGAACGCCAGCCACTCGGTGCCATTCACCGGGGTGGCCTCGGAGGTTCCATGGTATAATTGTGTGCCGGCGGGAATACTCGCGAGGAAGAACGACACGCCGTTGTGGTGTAGAGACGATCCCCACTGGCGCATTGAGTCTTGGATCACATTGAAGATGTGATTTTCATTTTTGATTGGGATTTCGTTGTTTGGGGCCTTTGCGAAGGCGGTTGATAAGCCTAGAAACCCGCATAGTGGGATGAGCCATGGTGGTCGCATTCTGGAAAAGACACTCACTACTCTGGTAGGAGAAGTGCCGAAAAATTGATTAATTTGGAATTTTTTTTATCAGATTGCAGATCCGGCTGCATTGGTGGAAAAAGCAACTTTCATATATCATCAGGCTATAATAACGTACTATAGAAAGCCGCGTCATCAATTCGTGGCTATGTATCCGCTTTCTGGTAGTTTGGCCCGACGCTAGGAGATTGGCAATGAGTGAGCCGAGTTGGATAGTAGACATAATCTATGACTAGAAGCATTGCATATTACTAGTACAATTATCCACATAAGTAGGTAGGTCGACCTCAAGCTAACTCAAGGGTTCACTTTTATTATTGCCGAAGCAATGCTGAAGCAATGCAATCGGTTTCTCCCGAAAGCCTTCGGAATGTACTGCTGTAGTTAGCTCACTGATTGATGCATTCGAACATTTTGGTCTCGGTATCAGAAGTATTCTGTTTTTAACCGCCTTCATATACATCTAAGCAGGCATCCCAAAGGACATCCAGAAATACCACCAAAAGGACATGACAAGGCCGCATATGTGACCGACTATTCCTGTTTATAGTAAAGGGAAACCCGGTTCCATTAGAGCTAAGAATGGTGTTTAAGGATACATTGTCATCAACTAGCTAAGGTAACTGTAACAAGCAGGAGACAAATCAGCAACCTTAGAAATAAAGCGATAAGAAGTAAACAGAGGTCTCTGCTAGTTGGATTTTCGGTACGGGGATCGTTTCGATTTAGTTAATTTCTGCTTGTTCGTCGTCGGCCACGGTAGCTATATCCTTCATTGTTTGCTTTATATCGTGGTTTTTTGTTGTTCGTGAGGGTTGTGTTCGCTGGCTGTCTCGCAGAATTTTGGGTGGGAGGTACTTGTTCCCGCAGGGTTCCAATTATGCCTTTGTCCCCTTTTTCGCTGAGGATGACGATTGAGTCATAGGCGTACGGGTTGCCTTCGAAGTACACTTTGTTGTCCCTGGTGTATGCGATCCAGTCCTTGAATGGTTGGCAACAAAGACGCCATAGCCTATGAATTATCATGTGTCGACACATCCAGCCACCCGTTTAAACGTCTCCGGGTCTTGTTCCTGCCATACTACATCTTGTTAGTTTGGGCGACCTGAGGTATCTTCATGTAGTGTTGGTTGAGCTTTCTAACCTTGAAATAAGACAGTCTGCAGCAGTATGGTTTGTTCAAGGTAAGGTTAGGAAGGATGACTTCCATTCGATTATTATCGGGAGTGTCTTTTTGAGGACTGGAAGAGTCACTTGAGGTGTGGGTGTAAGGTCTGAGATCAACGAAAGACGTTCGTTGGGTAGTGTCGATGAAGATGGGAAAGGTTAACGGTTGGTAAAAGAAAAGGCATAAAACAAAAAGAAAAAGAAGTAGAGGGTGAAACGGTCTATGTTGGATGAGGAGTCCAAAGTCGGCAACAGCAAGAGCCTATCTTCTGTCTCGGTTTTTAGACGCTCCATCTCTTTCTAACGACTCATTCTCGGCTTCAATATTGTCAATAGAGAGAAAACTTGAGACCTGCTGTTGCCATTAAATAATGCTCATTCATTCTTTTGATTTTTCCGTACACTTATAAGTTCGCATTTGCCCTTTTGAAGGTGTTCTCGATGAACATGCCGCTTATAATTGGCAAAGGTCCTGAACGCGAAAAGACGGAAGCAACGCAGAGGTCATTTAGGCTGGGCATGATGATATAGTCAAAATATACAATGCAATAACGACCCAGAGATATTAAATTTATATAGAAAAGTCATACTGGAACTGTAATGGCAAACTGTGTGAGAACTGGGGATAAATTAAAGTCAGGTTATGCTAGTTGGTGATATGCTTCTTATATATATCTGTATTAAATAAACAAAGAACAAAGGGTTGGGCAGCACAAACAAGAATGGTCAACCAAATGTAGTTTGTAAATATACGGTCCTTGGATTTCATTCAGTTTGATATGTATCTGCGCGTTGAGAAACTCATTGGGACAGTCGTATTTGAACATTTAGCTCGGCGTCCTAAATTATATTTATCTTGCGTTGATTTGATATAGATGAATAGACTTAAATCCACCCGTGATGAATTGATCTCAGCTCTTCTAGCGTATCTTATGCATCTGTAGGCCGCTGAGCCTTATGTGGAGGTATCAAAAAGAGAAGTTGGAGATAGCAAGTGTTATTTAAAATGAACCTTTGTTGAAGAGTCCATTTACATTTCGTTATGCTCACTCATTGGGTATCTACATGTGAATAATCAAAGCAGACCTGAGATAATTAGCGTTGTCAACATCTGCCATTTTACTTCAATACAGATTTCTGTCAACATACATCCCATTTGATCTTTCACGGAGACTGATGGAAATCTGGTTGGGCCTACTGGACTGAAATCCGCAAGGTTCTCCTTCATAGCTTTATTTCAAGGAGCCCAATAGTATGCATGTATCAAGTGATTCGCGTGGTTTGAAAATATTATTGGCATTTAACGCAGTTGTTGTTGTTGTTGTTGTTGTTGTTGTTGTTGTTGTTGTTGTTGTTGTTGTTGTTGTTGTTGTTGTTGTTGTTGTTGTTGTTGTTGTTGCTGTTGTATTGATTGATCACTAAGTATATTTGCATACTTAAGCCATTATTACTACTCCCCCCATTCTAGCTGTCATACTAAACTAAACACAAAGAAACATTTAAAAAATAGAAAAAAGACTTCGTCCACCACCTCTTTTCAAGAGAGGTGTTCAAAAAAGAAACGTCCCCGGGAAGGCTTGAACTTCCAACCTCCCGATTAACAGTCGGACGCGCTAACCTATTGCGCCACGGAGACATTGATTGGTCATCGAACATTGGGAAAACATCTTTATAGACATCCGACGTAAGATCCCTTGTCCTCCAACAGAAATCGAGGTGTACAGACAGCTATAACTAGTTATGCTATGGATGGCACATGTATTTCTCTAACTATCTAAAAATGACAGAATCCACTGTTTTGACAAGATATGCGGATATGGACTAATAATATACACTTTTATAATTATGGTGGTCTTGATTCTGGATATATATATTTCTACTATATATTTAACCATGATATTCGATAACTAGTTATACCTCCTAGTTTTTGAAAAGGGGTTTAGAGCCTTAAGAACTATTAATTATAATCGATCTCTAACTGATTCCTCTTAAATAATTACTGTTAATCCATCGATTTCTATATTATTTATAAATCAGTCTATATAGACTTCCGCAAAGCTCGCAAAGCCCGAAACCCGACCCGATTATTATAATCAGATGGATGGGAGTGAGGATTCCCTGGTGATTGGAAACTCTGAAGGTATGTTGTATATTTTTCCTGTAGCAGCTACTGAGCTGGAAGATCTCTACAGGAAGATGGAGAAAAGGAGGAAGAAATCTTGATTCCTGATCTATACAAAAGGTAGGGCCTTTACACCGCAACGACAAACATACTGGCAAACAAAGCTGGCAAACAAACAAAGACAAAGACAGACACCAGACAGACAGAGACAAACTCCAGACAAAGCGCTCAGTCGGTAAGCATGTAGCAGTTTCTGGGAAGATCTAACAGCTCTAAACGGTGCTCAAGTTCAGGGCTGTTTCTCAAGCCCAGAGTACTCCAGTGAAGAGTGATAGTAAACACTTAGATACACCCCCGTCTTCTCTGTATAGGCGAATGATATCCAGCAAATTAGGCGATCCGTTTGTCGTATATCAAACCCGGGGCTTGTTCAGTTAGTTTTCGTAAGATCTCTCATCGCAAAATAATCGGAAACACTTACAACAAGTCTCGTACAGCTCGCTCATATGCATCCCCGTGAATATCAAGTCCGATTTCCTTGAGATATTGGGAAATGGTATGCACGTTTTTCTGGTCATTGAGACCATAAACAGGGAAGTAAATCTTGGTACCTGGGGCCGTGATACCGGCCTTCGTTTCATAGTTCCACACCAAATGAAGGTCAAGGGGATGGGGACCATGGCCAATCTGCAATAGTTCCCACAATCGTTGAAGGTAATCAAGACCCTTGTTTGACTCGGGTGAATCAATTCGCCCGCCCAAAGTCCAAATCTCCTGAACCTGGTTCCAAGACATATCTTTGGTACGGCCGTATACCTTGTGGCGGGACTTTTCGGGAGTCGTGCAATCGTGCGAGTAGACGAACCCGAAGTTGGTTCTCGCCTCAGTCGTTTCGATGTAATCTTTTATCAGGCCAATTGTATTGTAGCGGTCGGCATCTCCAAGATATTCTCGGATGGAGTCCATGACAACAGAGCACATGTCTTTGCCTGCCACATGGCACTTCAAGCCTGGGAAAGTGTATCCCTTAACAGAGATGGTATCGGGTTTGAGATCGAAACCAAAAGCCACCTGGGAAAGTTCACGAATTGGCTCATTCTTCTGCTGGAGCTTTTGACATTCGCTTCTATCCAAGGTATGCTTGGGATAAAAGTGCTCGAACAAACGATGATCATATCCTTTGATATTGAGCTTCTCCAAATGAGAAAGTATGTCACGGATAGGGCTCAAATTATATGGATCCTCCGTCGTTCCAGAGATGGAGGTGACAGGTTCCACCGCAACTCGAATAACTGGTTTGGTACCACCTGACTGTTGAAAGTTGATGCTGAGTTCCAGGGGAAGTTCATTGTGGGTCATCGCGCTGGGGAACTTCTGAGGGTATGGCCCTAGATACGGGACGACAGATGTGTAAAAGAACATCAGATGCTGGCGTTGGGATTCGTTGGTGTAGCCCGCCGAAGTCATCAGACTGGCCAGTAAAGGCCCAGTCCTCTGCCACCAGTCTTTTTGATCATCAACTGGACAATTTAGAGACCTGTCAAGAAGCTCAAATTGAAGCTTATCTGCCCCTTGGACGGCCATATTGTCATTCACAACGGTCAAGTTGGGAGGTATTTGGTGTTTATCAAATGTGATGTGCTGAAGGACAGAGAAAAAAAAAGGAACTAGGCGGCCCAGAACCTTTTCCCCCTATTGGGCAAATATTTATGAAGAAAGAGCAAAGCGATAGAAAGTGATCATCCTACGCCAATTTTTGGGTACAGCGATCAGCTTGAGTTTACGTACATCTAAGTTTTAGCTAGAGAGATTGAGAGCAAGGGGGGGGTGGGTAGATCGATTTCCAGAGATATATAGAGTTGGTTGATTCAGCTACCAAATGTCAAATGTATCCACTATAGTGAGAATCGTGAGAATGCAGAAATATCAAGATCACCACAGCCCCACAAGTTTATGTGGCTTGCGTAGATGTGGATGTACTACTATCCTCTAGCGGCTATAGTATATTTGGTGGATATATTTTTAATTTGACGATTGTGAAAATATCGATAGATTGACCTGTATAAATCAATACAGATACATGACAATACCTCCTTTTTTAATTTTATATATAGTCAATTAAAGTGTACTATATTGAGGAATAAATCGTCCGCAGCACATCCTATATCCAAATTCTCTAGCATTTGAATGCCACTTTTGTCCATTGATCGAATCAAAATGGCAAAAACCACAGCCTTGACTCAATGGCAGCAGTTTCACGCCAAAAACCCAGACGTAGACTTCGTTTGGGTGTCCTTCACAACATACATTGGCACCAATCTGGTCCGCATAGTCCCTACGCCAGAATTCAAGCGATTGTTGGAGACGGATCAAGGAATCTCGGTTCCAAAGGTTATACTTCATGTTCTCCCTCACGATAATGTGGCAGAAGGTGGGACCCTGACGGGGTCATTCTTCCTGAAACCTGATCCTCGATGCCTTTCACCCTACATGGATAAAAACAAGGCAATTGTCATGTCTTCGTGGACAGACAAAGAGAAATTGCCCATGGGAGAATGCGCACGCTCTAAGTTGGACACTTTGACACGTTTGATTGAACAGAAGTCGAACTCCTCACTTCTGGTCGGGTTCGAGCTAGAGTTCTGTCTCTTACGGCAACGAACACTGAACAACGGAAAAGTCGAGTACGAAACGGTTAATGCGGATCATTCGTGGTGTAGCATGACTCGTGACGACGAGCTTCTACTTGGTATCCTGGAAGAAGCCGTTCTGGCTTTGCACAGCGTTGGAATCATGGTTCAACAATTCCATGCAGAATTAGGTCCTGGTCAATGGGAATTTGTTCTTCCACCAGACTCCCCGCTCAGAGCTGTGGATGCTCTGGTTCTTGCCAGACAGATTGTTATGAAGGTTGCAAACAAGCATGGATACCGAGCAACCCTTCATCCCCGATTATCACCCGAACAGCCCGGCACCGGAGCTCATGTCCATATCTCGCTCAATTCTGACAAGGTGGATTTGCCAATCGTGGAGTCATTCTTTGCTGGTATCCTCGGCCATTTTACTTCCATTTCTGCTTTTACGCTTCCCCAAGACATCAGCTATGGCCGGGTTGTCGGAGGCATTGGGAGTGGGGGTGACTATGTGTGCTGGGGGTGGGAAAATAGAGAGACCATCTTGCGGCGAATTTCCAGTGACCGTTTCGAGATCAAGATGATGGACGGACTGGCCAATCCTTATTTGGCGCTCTGCGCACTGTTAGCAGCTGGACTGGATGGTTTACTTCAAGGCTCGTTGCTGAGCGCCGGCCCTTGCACCATAGAGCCGAGCAAGATGTCTGACCAGGAACGGGCTGCGCTGGGGATCAAGGCAATGCCTTGTGAGCTGACCCAAAGTCTCGAGAATTTGGAGGCGAATGAGCGCCTCAAGCAAATTCTGAGTGATTCCCTGGTGTCGACGTATCTTTCTGTGAAGAGATCTGAGCGAAAGGTCATGCAGGAGATGTCCCCGGAGGAGAATCGTGCGTGGTTCATTTCGAAATATTAGATCTATTTAATTACAGACAATACAGACAATAAGAGACTGAGATTCTCACTTGAAGTACTCCGTATTACAGTGGTCTTTAGAAATTCGTATGCTGTAGTTATGTTCACCCCTTACAAAGTTCAAAGAAACAAGCTCGTTCTAAATATCTATTGATTTCGAGCTAGTTGCCTCCCTCCGTAAGAAGTCTGTCCATGTAGATCCTGCTGATCTTTGAGAACTAGCAATTTTAGCGTTTTATTTCAATGGAATACTGCAATTCCCCTACGAAACAACTCGCAAACTGGTGTAGATGGTATATGAAATACTGAGCTAGCAAATGTTAGCATCTTCTTGGCGGAACCACACAGAATTCTGACTAGGGGTGGTACATCGAACAAGGGACTAGTGTGGATTGAAACGTGTCATACCAATCGGCCGGATCCTTTTTTGAGTAGCAGTTGGATCGACATTGACCGACAATGACCAAGCGTGTGTGAGGCATGATATGCATTCATGTGAGCACATGCGGCTGTAGTGGAGACAATAGCCAGAGGCGTAAATACGTGCAAGTGTTCTAGTGGCGTTATAGCGGTGTTAGTGGTGGATGTATAACATTCCAATGTCCATGTTAGGAGTTTATCTCTTGTTTTCTTATCAAATAATCCAGTGCTGTTATAAAAATCTCCGACTCTTCTGGAAAGTACTCTTTGTTCAAGCTCACTACATTGATTTCGACCGCGTATGTAACCTTCTCTGTAAAGTCCTTACAGCAATGTACGTATTTTGCGATTGACAAAGATCATTGATCCAAAGTTGATATACACCCATTCGCTATCTTATCGCCAGTGAAGCTGATTTCTTCTCCAGATATCTCAATATGGGTTCTATTGGAGAAGAGGAAAGGTCAGACAACGAATTGTCCAAGATCATGTTGGAGATGGAGTCTTTTCTGCCTCGACTTCTCACGGTCAATTCACCAGCCCCGTCTGACCCCATCGTCCAAAAGCTCCATGCACACGAGATACAAAGTATGCAGCAGGAAGTCATGCCTGGTGACCATCCTCAAGGTCTTTCATCCGTCCTTCATCAAGCTATGACAGTCTTCGATAACCGCATGCGCCTCACCCATCCACATTGCTTCTCCTATATACCAGCTTGCCCAACTTCTCTTGCCCGTCTGGGTGACCTTCTTACTTCTGTCTGCAACGTCAATGCTGTCAGCTGGGATGTGAGCTCTGGTCCGAATGTTGTCGAAAAAGCCATGATAGCCTGGCTGGGTGCCCAGCTAGGACTGCCAGACTCAGTTGGAGGGTGTTTTGTCTCGGGTGGCTCTATGGCGAACATGACAGCCATAGTCGCAGCCCGGGATGAGATTCTACATCCTACGCAGCGAGCTGACGCGGTAATTTACACTTCCGACCAGACACATATCTCTATCCGCAAGGCTCTACATATAAGCGGCTTCATGGATTACCAGGTCCACAAGATACCCAGTGATGATACATTCCGCATAGATGTGAACCTCCTACGACATGCGATCAACGCAGATCGTAAATCGGGACGCGTACCGTTCCTTCTTGTCGCCAACTGTGGGAGCACCAACACAGGCAGCATTGATCCTCTCCATGCACTGGCTGATATTGCACGAGACGAAGGGCTATGGCTACACGTGGACGGCGCATATGGTGCTTCCATTGCGCTTTCTGACAAGCATCGCCACCTCGTTGATGGGATCGGTCGCGCAGATAGTGTTTCTTGGGACGGCCACAAGTGGCTCTTCCAGACATATGGATGTGGCATCGTGCTCACGCGAAAAGTTAGCTCTCTCTTGCGCAGCTTTGCTGTGGATGCCGAGTATCTCAGTGGTGTACTGGCACCACAAGGTACCACCAACTTCTACAATCTGAGTCCAGAGCTCAGCCGGCCAGCGCGTGCCATCTCTCTGTGGCTCACTGTCAAATCCCTGGGCCGTCATCGTATGGGTGAGATGATCGACCAAGGTTTCCTTCTTGCCCGTACCGCAGATCAAAATGTCCGTCAGTACAAGAACTGGATTATTGCTGCCCCAACAGTTGCTAGCATTTTGGTTTTCCAATACGCACCTCGCGGGCTCGGCGAAGAAGCGTTGGATGCATTGAACACGGCTATTTCACAGCGACTGTTGGCGGAGAACATTGCTGCTATCCTCACGACCAAAATTCGGGGAAGAATCACACTGCGAATGTGTATGATAAATCCTGTTGTGACACCAGAAACCATCGACAATGTTATTCTTCGGGTTGACAAATTGGCCCAATCTGAGCTTCACAAGACTTATCCAAAGTTGGATAATGTATCGCATACTCTTTGTCGAGAACGCTCTGGTGTTGAGGCTCTTCAAGGTGCTAGTTGATTCCTGTACCAGGCCACATGGGAAATGTTGAGGGCACCGGAGATATTGGGGTTATTGGCGTTCTACATAAAATTCTCTCACTCATGTTGACTATTAATGTTTGAATTGGCTTAAAGGATACCTAGGTAGTAATTTCAATCTGGGAATATTTAATGCGTGTATTTTGGCTTATGAGTCTTGGGCTTGAAGTCCCCGAATTTAACGTAAGGCTTATTAGACGTAGTTCAAGATTCGCTCGTGCTGTTTAAAACCTAATGCGATCGAATTTTCCCGAAACAGAGGGCTATGCAATGTTCTACTTTCTTTCTATTCCTCCTCCCTACGCATACATAACCTCATTCTCTATATATCTCATTCTACGTCATGCTTCCTCTACCAGTCGTCTTTCCAAATTTTCGATAAACATCTAGAACATGGCGGTGAAACTTCGGTAAGTGATCGTTGTTTCTGAGCCCACAAAATACGATAGGGGCAAAGCATAAACCGAGATCTGAGATCATCCAACCGAGATCATCCGAGGTATCTCAGCCAACCTCAGTTTATAGCACATTCTTAGTACGGAGTTCTCCGTAGTGTCGTAGCTAGTTATACAGATTTAATGCCTATCTTGGTAGCATGTACGGAGTAAGGCGCAGACTCAAACATATGCCAGCGAGGAAGGTTGTGATCGGCACCTGGCTTAGCTGACCTCCATAAAAAAAAATAGTACGTAAACCCATAAACCCATAAACCCATAAATTCGTAAATTCGTAAATTCATGTACAACAAGATTGAGTTTCAGATCGGGATTCTGCACACGTGATTGGACATTTCCTTCGCCCCACATCCCTTGGTTACATAATATACTGACTGACAAAATGGCAATATAAGGTGTAATACGTGTTTTAGGTAGGCGGTATGAGTATATAGTGGCGGTGAGCAGATCGAGGGCTGCCGCAATTCATGTCCACTTTAAACCTTAGCTTAGCTACTTGGTACTAGTAGTTAAGTGTTAAAATAATTAGAAATACAAGGGGTTTAATTATCCAGAATCAATCACATCGAAGACTTTTTGTATTACAATGTAAGATCGGCAACCTTAACTGTTTAAAACATGGAATACGCGAGGCAACTGGAGGCTGAATCTGGTAAGTAAGCTGCGGGCGCTTACTCCTTGCCGTCCGTATATAGAAAGCTCCGTTTATATTCCCCTAGTTGCATATAGCGCCTATCACCATATGATTTATCTTTAGGACTCCACAATTTTGAGTCAACGAGGAGCTGGGGTAGACATCCCGAGTCCCGACTTAACAATTAGACGAAAATTAATGTATGTTTGACATAAAAATTCTACGTCCTCCACAAGCTTGTTATCCTGGTATTCCCTCAACTGTTTCAACAGCACATGTGCCAAAGTCGATTTCAGCCCAATACAGGAGGTAATAAAATGGCTACCGAGAAATGGGTTTACCTTGACTCTACTTCTGGGGGTCTTGCCTTGGGAGTGGTTGTTATAGCCTTTTTTCTCCTTGAGATCAGGGCAAGAAGGCTAAACCCATCCAGATTGCCAGTTTTCAATGACCGGAAATGGTGGGAATTTGGCTATGGTAAAGCAACACACCGGTATATCTCTGATCCAGAGGGATGGATAAGGTCCGGGCTTAAGAAGGTGCGTACAGCTCCGTTCACGCAATCGCGACTCATCTACATGTATATCGCTGACCTTGGGGGTATAATTTGACAATAGGGCGGAGACGCATTTTATCTGTGCACCGAGGCACATTTTCGCTTGATTCTAAGCCCGAAATATGCCGATGTGATTGGAGGGGATAATAGATTCGATTTGGGAATGTTTGTAGCAGAGGTTAGTATTTCTGCTTACGGTGCACAATTGAAGGCAAAAAAGTATTTACCTACCTTTAGGACTTTCATGCAGGAGTACCGGGATTTGAGCCAATCTCGAACATTGCCTTGGAATCCAAAATTCTACAGACCGCTGTCAAGACAAAACTGTCACGTCAGACTAGTGAGTTGATTGAAAATTCAATGCTTGTAACACTGGCATTTGGGCATTTGGTTGACACTCGAATTCAAAGCCAAACTCGTCGATCCGCTTTCCAAAGAAACGGGGTTGGCCCTGGATCGTTACTGGACTGAAGAAACTGGTATATATAACCTTCCCAGCCCAAATTCTTCGAATATCATGATACCTGCTGGAATTTTCTGACTTTAAAACAGAATGGCACCAAGTCAACCTGAGATACACAACGAGTCAAATTGTGGCACAAATGGTATGCCGAGCATTTCTCGGTGATGAAGACCTGTGTAAAAATCAAGTCTGGCTAAATCTGATGTTTGAATTTCTGGAAACCACATTTATCGCCGCTCATGATTTACGTCGATGGCCAATTCCTATGAGACGCATTGTTTCCCGGTTTAGTCCAATGTGTCGGTTGGTTCGGACACAGATTCAAGAGGTTGAGAAATACCTAAAGCCTCTGCTTGACAAAGAAGTTGGCCCTGATTCAGAACTCAACTCGCTTGAGTGGGCCAAGGAGGCGAGCAAAGGCTCCTCATACGACTTTACTACGTTTCTGCTCACACTTGCGCTCGCTTCACTAGATACGACCAGCGATTTGATTGCAAAGGCTATGTGTGACCTCTCCGAGAATCCGGCTCTGGTAGAGGACATTCGAAAAGAAATCATTGAGACCGTCGGAAAAGAGGGTTTGACCAAGTCATCTACACAGCGGCTATACCTTTTGGACAGTGCAGTAAAGGAATCCCAAAGACTCAGACCACTCGGGTACAGTAAGTGATCTATGGATGCTAATAACCTGCACAAGCTCAATTCACTGACTCGTTGTAATTAGGCAACATGGAGCGATTCGCCAAAGAGAAGGTAGTTTTACCCGATGGTTTGATTATCCCGAAGGGAACTTCAATCATGGTATCAGCATGTCATATGATGGACTCCTCAGTCTGGACGGATGGAGACAAATACGACGGCTACCGATTTGCAAATTTGCGAAAGAACGCGAAGAATTCGTTGACAAGCCCTTACCAGCTTACCTCCACGAGCCCGGATCATATGGGCTTTGGACATGGCAAACAGGCATGCCCTGGAAGACATTACGCTGCAATCTTTCTCAAAATAGCGCTATGCCACATTATTATGAAGTATGACTTCAATGTGAACCTACCGGAAGAAGGTCGCATTCAGTTGCGTGGGCATAATATCCTACCACACTCAAACATCAAAGTCAACCTCAGACGACGGAAAGAGGAAATATCTTTTTGAAGGAGGCCTTGGGTTTTTTTTTTATATCTTTAATGTACTTGAGAATTTCTTTAATGAGAGTCTGATATATTATTACCGATTTTGTGCCCGATTTTGGGGCTTGATGAGATAGATTGAACAGCTTGAATATCCCCAATAGCAGAAACTATGGAGCGAAATTTTTTGAACCTCAAGTGAAAAGTGGTGCCGTTCCAGAAACTTGTTATGATTTTTGTTCAATTGGAAGTACAGAAGAATAGACATGAGTCCTCCAATTGATCAATGGTTTTACGTCTCTTCGTAGATCGTCTGCGGGCAGTGTTAAATGACATCAATGATAGCACTTCGTACGGAGTACTCCGTCCATGACTAACTATATCCTTAGTGTTATATACTTTACAGAAACCCCTTTAATCTCAAAATCCAAAAGAAAAGGTGTTCTGTATTGTCATATTTTACCGCTATTGGGGATGCGCATAAGTGGAGTGATCACGTAGTATGGAGTATGTTAGTACATGCTATCCCTCTTGAAATATATGTATTTATCTTCCTTAATTGAACCTATAGCTAGTATAATAACTCTTCCTTCCCATCCTCTCCCTCCCCTCCGCCAAATTTTCCTACTTAGGTCGCCGGTTGAAATTGACTTCTCTTTACAACCCCAACCCTCGATTCAGAAAGTTCAAGGAATGATGGAATCCGAGTCGTCGGCCGCTTCCACGAGCCTATCAGAACTAGATAAAAATGGCCAAGAAACGGGAGGCTCTTCGGACAATGAAGATTCTTCAAAGGAAGTGCAGAAGTCAGGAATGGATTACAAGTTCTTTATTACTGGACTTATAGGCAAGTCAGCTATTCACCTCTAACGGGAACCCTCTGAATCTCTAAAATTCATTCTAACCTGACATGGACAGGCGTATTTCTTGCCTTTGCGGACGATACTTTTGTTTTCACTACCTACGGTACGATCTCGTCTCACTTCGGCCAGGGCTCCATGGGATCATGGCTCGTCACGGCATACAATCTAGGATTCGCCGTCTCCTTGCCCGTCGTATGATTGCCAATTCTGTTACCTTTGGCGTTCCTGGGCTGACGATGACAGTACGGACGAGTCTGTGATATCTATGGCTACAGGTACCCACTTCAAGCGGCTTATTTAATCTTCTCTATTGGATGTGCAATGTCGTAAGTTGAGACAGGTAAAATCCCCAGGCCAAGAAGGTGACTTACATTTCTTAAGTGCATTTGCCACCTCTTTGTGGATTGCGATTGTTGGAAGGTTCCTTTCTGGGGTTGGTGGCTCGGGAATGACGGATTTACTGGTTGTCATTATCAACGGTATGTGGATTCTACCTTGGAAACGAAACAGTCAATACAAACGCTGTACATTATACTGATGTTCGAAATATAGACATGGTGCCCCCAAGAAAAGCCACAGGTTTACGTGCATACATATCGATCGTCATGACTATTGCTGTTCCCGTCGGTGCCCCGTTGGGCGGTGCTTTGACTCAGTGGATTGGCTGGAGATGGGCCTTTGCTTTGCAAATTCCATTGGGCCTCATGTGTTTAGCTATGGCTGCCTGGCGACTGAGAAGAGCCAAGCAGAGGAGCGACTCTGAGAATAAGGAAGAAGTATCTGTATCTTCTCGACCGGATTTTAATTTACTAGGGATATTTCTTCTCGGTCTCTCCGTCGCTTCACTAATGACAATTTGTCAGTTCTCAGGTGAACTGAGATCCAAATTAATAATTGGGTTACCAATTGTATCGTCAATATTCCTCGTCAGCGTCGTGCTTTTTGGAATCAACGAACGGTGCTGGACAAATTCCCCATTGATTCCGCTAAAGTTGCTCAAGACGAACAACATTGGTGCAATGTATCTTGCACAGATCATTCTTTTTTTTAGCTATGGAAGTGTATGTCAGTCCTACCTCCCCTGTCGGACTTTAACTGACCGGCCCGCACAGATCAGCAGTCATATTGCAGAATTTTGGATCCGGACAAAGAACTACAACAACAGTCTCGCTGCTGCATGTATACTGCCAGTTGTATTTGGGAACGTTGCGAGTGCAGCTATCTGTAGTATGAGCGTGCAGAAGTATGTATACCGTCCCTAGGTGATCCCAAATAAGTTCACTAATCCACTATTAGAACTGGGAGATACAAGAAAATTTTAATTGCAGGCTGCGTGGTTGCAGTAGCCAGTAATGCATTGATAGCAGCACGATGGCCACATCGACCATTATTTTGCGATATGATATTTTACGCTGGCATGGGCCTCGGAGTGGGTGGCATTCTCGTATGTACCTTCTCAGGATTGTCAGTATCGGTCCCAAACGAGATGACAGCCACTGCCATGACAAACTATTATCTCTGCCAACAGTTGGGATTGGTCGTGGGTATTTCTGTGGTATCTTCAGCCAGTCGGGCGGTTTTTGAAAAGTGTCTGTCTCAGGACATTCCCCTGCACAAAGATAAATCCCAGGTTTGTATTCCTTTGCTTGGCCCTTTCTCTCTAACGCCTCTAACATGGTCACAATTCACAGCTTGTTGGACACGTCTTGAATGATCATCGATTTGCTTTTACTTTGTCTGAGCCGATCCAGTCGATCGTAAGAAATTGTTTCTTGCAGTCTTTTGGGGTCATCGCAGGTATGGGAGAACTCTTCAGATTGCTATTTTTCCAACTAACTCCGGTATAGCAATATCCTCCGGCAGCTTGGCTCTGGTTTTTCTTATATGCTTGAGGCTGCCTGAGAAGCGACTTGAAAAATAGTGAGGATCTAGTGGATGCCTTGGATGTCATTCGGCCTAAGAGGAGTTGATAGTTCCTAGAGTACTCTCATATAATCACGAATAATTGCTTGAATCGAACCTTGTTGAGCTGCTTCTTTGGATCGAAGGATCTAAAAGTCATGATATTTAAAGGGAAAAAATATATCAACACGAAGAGATTCTGTAAAAAGTAAATATTTGCAATTCAGAAGCAGAAACATCGCGTGCGCCAACAAAAGTGAAAATTCCAACTCAAATCAAACCCACTCGACACTCAGCAGCATGGTTTTGGTGACCCTACCAGCGTGCGATTGTTGGTATCTTAGTTCGAATATGAAACAGGGCAGCGAGGAATGGGGGCGGACTTTCAATAAAGGGCGAGTCGATAGAGCATTCGAGTTTCATGCTGGTCAAAAAATTGACAAATCGCTCATTCTTAATGCGGCGCACTAGCTATCTTAAAGCAAGCAAAAGCGGCAACAGTCAGTGACACCGCGCTCAGAAATACATCTGCACCAGTCCCGATAGGACTCGAGACTAAGTCGTCTTTTATAGTATCGCGCGGTATTATATTGAACGTTGTTGCAATTGCCGACCATCCTGAAATCGCCGGAACGACCAATGTATCGGCCATTCCAAAGAAATACTCGAATGGAAGTTTTGAAGTCGACGACAGGGCGTACGTTAAAGTGAGAGAGTACAACTCTAGAAGGCGATACCGGCGTCCAGACCCAAAGCACGGCAATGTCAAGAGAACAAATCGATAGCATGCGTGTGCAAATATCCATGATTTGCTGACGGCAGTGAAGACGAACAAGTTATCGTGGATCAGAACTGTCTTCCATCCAACGCGGTGTCCTTTCTGGAGGATCCAAACGAAGAGGGCAACGCAAGCGATTTTGCTGCATATTCCCCGAAGTGTGCCGCCCATAGGAGTGCCGACCATCATGCCAATATTTGCGTACACCGCAAAATTAACATAGGTCGTAAAGGCGGGTAGAAATCTCGTCTGTAAAGACCGATCCGCAATGAGGAACATCAAGACAGAGCCGAGGCCGAGGGGAAGCAAACACATTGTTTTGGTCATTTCGCCGAGAGTAGCCGTTGTGTTAAATACGAAGATAGTCGCGCTGACCCCAAGGACGACGACCAAAAGCAGGCCCGGGTTTCGAAGAGCACACCCATAGGTGAGGATGAGGATGATGGTAAGCCATACGTTGAAGGGGATATCAACGTACGGTTTAAACGCCGTTAGTAGTAGTGAGAAAGCCATAAGATAATGTACTTCTATCCGGAACTTTGACTTGAGCTTCCCTGCGGGGTCGTGCGGCCCTTTGTAGGGGGATTTTGATGCCTGGAGCCAAAGGTTAAATGCCTGACCTTTCAGGCTTGATATCTTAACATGTCTGAGCGCTTTCGACACCGCTCTATACCGTTTACTGTAAATTGGATCAATTCCTCAAAAATTGAACATCCCACAAATCATCGAATCCCCAGCGTTGGAAACTACCCCAGACTGCACAAAATACCTCTTCAGATTTGGTCCGTCGCAACAGCTTCAACGCCAAGAAGTAGGTGTATACGGGGATTTATATAGCGGGAACAGCTTCATCCCTGATTCTGCCGGTTAATTCTGATTCTGCCGGTTAATTATCCACCAATGAAAACTCATGACCAATTGACGGTATGTTCAATTAAGAATGCGGTAGTTAGCGGAAGGAGGTATTAGGTAATACTTTTGCGGAGTCTGTTGTAGACGGTATAAAGTAGCTGATTAAGAGCTATATTTTACGTATGTACCAACCTGTATATTTAGTTTCATTATATTATTATAGTAAGAAATAGGAATTCAGTAGAATTATACTGATTTTAGTATGATGATAGATATATATTGAGTCTATACTTAGGTAACAATTTTAGTAGTACTAATAATACCTGTACTTACTATATAATTCCCTAACAAAAATAGGTAACTGTTACAACCTGCCCCTGGACTAGCGAGTTACAAACTAGGCCAAAAGACCACTATATCTGAGCATTACGCTCAGATAGTCCAGGCTCCGTTATATATAGTGCGTGTCATGACAGTAACCCTTATAAAAAGTGAAGCGTTATAAAAATTAACTTTGTATCTTCAAACCGTTTCTGTATAGCTTCATATATCGCTCAGATGGGAGTTTTATCACTAAGGAAAAACCAGGGAAAACGTATTAATTATGCAGCTACAATAAATTGGCATATTTGTATTGTTTGGGACCTATTATGCGCTCGAATGGGCTTTGCGGGCTTTCATTCAGGGCCCAAAACCCAGCCCATTTGCGGGGCTTTGGGCTATTGAGAAGTCTACGGGCTCTATACAAATATACATTTATCGTCCCGGTTTGTAGCCAGGAAAAGGTTATAAGGGAGTGAAACAGAAGTGGCTAGAAGTCATAATATTCAACTACACCGTCAAAGGGAAATACATTAACACGAAGAGAATCTGTAAAAAGCGAACATTTGAACTTCAGAAGCAGGAACATGAACTCCACTCAAAACCACTCGGCACTCAACGGCATGGCTTTGATGAGTGTACCAACGTGTGATTGTTGGTATCCATTCCCTTTAGTTCGAATATGTATCAGGGCAGAGAGGAATTGGAGCGGACTTTCAACAAAGGGCGAGTCGATAGGCCATTCAAGTTTCAGGCGCGTAGAAAACTTGACAAATCCCTCATTCGTCATGCCACCCTCTGGAATTTCACCGAGCTCGTCTGTAACGAGCCCCAAAAACGAACGGAAATTCTTGTAATCTTCAAATGTGCTGAAGTAAAGACTCCCGGAAAACATTTCCAGACATCGGGTCATCGTGTCGCTAGGCTGCGTTGGAATGTTCGCGCCAATGCCAAAGAAGTCAAGATGGCGGAATGACCGCATTGGCTTTGTTAATCGCGGGGCGTAGATGTTAAGTCTGGCATTCTCTGATTTGCGAACGATATTGAGGAGCCCATTCGCTTCCCATTGACTCACGACAATAAGAACATCGCTGTGCACACTCGATAGAATCCAATTCACCTGCTTGCAGAAATCGTCCATAGGATCGTTTGGGGAAATCTTCACAGTTTCGTTGAAGTCCAAAGTAGAATACAACCCAGACCCCAGCGGATTTGGATGATAGAATTTCCCAGCAGATGTGTTAGCAAGACCGTGGAAGGCTAATGTGACAGCCTTGGATGTTTGATTGCCGGGGAACTCGCCGAATTTGGCGAAATGCCGGATATCGTCATGGAGCTTGTGTTTGTTAGGCGTATATGATGGCGGTCGATAAACCTGTTGTTCTCGCTCCACTTCGCATGCGATTTCCCGTTCCTGTTCTTCGTGAAGATACGCAGACGTCTCGACCTGTCCCGCAGTGGACTGCAAAGTTTTCAACAACACCTGAACTTCCCCATAATTCAAGTCCCCTTCTGCAATGTCGTAGGTGCTTGTACTCTCTTTATCCTCATTCCATGGTGCGTACAGCTGGGAGAGTGTCCGAGCTTCAGGCTCCTGCATAGAACTGACTGTTTCCTTGGAGGGGATCCTTTGTTCCACAAGCAAATCCCAAAGGCGTGTTTTCTTATGGTATTGAAGTCCCTGGTTTGCCCAGAGCGGGCGCAGATTGTCTAGAGTGCGGCATGTTTGAATCATAGACCACTTTAACACGTCTGCTGAAGTGAAGTCTCTATCGGAGGATATCCCCAAGACAAATCTCATACTGTGGCTGACCTCCGGTGGGATTAGAAATAGAAGTGATTGGCACTTTTCTAGACCACGAAGTCGGTTGCAAGCTGAGACAAGATTAGAACTCTCTTCAAGATATATTGAGACTGCGCAGCTTACCTTGTACAAGTCTGTCCTTTGTTAATCGGGGTCCTAGAGTGATTGCAGCTCGCGTCGTAGGGGGTAACTTCAAATCTATGCCACGCGAGTGCTGTTGATCAAGGAACACCAAGCAAGCACCCATTCGTTGTCGGAACGAAGAGGACAAGAGAGTGTCGACATGCCCTTCCCGGTCAATAACCATAACTTCGTCACTGTCATTGAAGAATATTGCCGCCTCAACATCTCCCTCGGGGGTCATTGAAAGCCACTTTTGGGCGACTGATTGGTTTCCAGCCTCCAGGATTTGGGCGCCAACATCAATCAAAACTCGCACAGGCCGGGCCGTGGTTGAGCGTTCACTGGTACGGACTACGAGCTTCAAGAGCCGATCAACATCCAGATGCAAGCCTTTCTCGTCCTCCGCCAATATACATTGTCTGTTGTCCCCTCGAAGCAACAATCGCAGTACCATCGCATTGGTGTGGAGAAGTCCATCGAGATCCCGTTGGCGAACCGACAGAGGTAGGAGAAACCGGTTGTCGTTTGTACCGCTGAAGCCTGTCGTTAGTTGCAGACCACACCGTGCAGGGATGTCCCATGCAGAAGATGAGAGCTTCCGCGGAAACTCCTTCGCTTCTCTGGAGAAAACAAAGTGAGATAGGTAGAAATCCAGTATCTCTTTCTGATAGCAGAGAAGAGGGAACAGAGTTTGACCGAAGGTCTGATCGTCCTGAAGGTTCACGCCTGAGTATGTCTGTAAACCAGCGGGCAGATCATCGATGCAGGGGGAGACCCAATTCTGGAACACTGTGGAGGGGTCGTTCAGTTTAGCCAAGAGGATGAAGCAGTCTCTCAGTTGCTCCTTCGTCAGTCCCTCGTAGTAGTAACTTAGACAAGTCAAAGTTACTGCTACATCAGGGTGTCCAAATTCTGCACTCTCGGATGGGACACCCTTCGCACGATATGGCACAGCCATCAAACATCGGGAAGGGTGAAGTCCATATTCCACTAACCAGCGTTTATCGGCAAGCGAGAACCTCAGGATGCGATGAGCGAAGAGCCCTCGTAAAACGAGAAGCTTGGTGAGGAAGATACTGTCGTTGAACTCTTCCCGGATGACAGATTCATCCTCTTCGGTCAGTTCAGAATGTTTGATGAATCTGAGCACGCTGCGTTTGACCCGTGAAGTCCATTGGGTGAAAGGTAAACCCGGAATCCCATTTTCTAAAATTGACTCGAGAGTGTAACCGATCAGTTGTTCGATAGCACCGGGCTTCAAAAATCGTAGAATAGGGTATCGGTAACCTGACTGATCAACCTCTATGCATCTTGGATCATCACTGTGAAGTCGTCTCGCTTGTATTGAGACTAGGCGAAGCAAATGCTGTGTCGTCTCCCAGCGACTGCTGAGTCCATCGAGGGATTGCTGGGTGCCCATGGTGTAAACTAGCTGAAACTTGGTATCCATAACTTCATCGCTTTCATCAATAACATCCCGGCATTTTCTTTGTAGCCAATTCTCAAGACTAATCAGTGGTGCAAAAATACCCGGGTTTCTTTCCGCAGCATCTAACCCAATGAGTCTGAACGAGAGGATTTGTTCAGGAAGAGCGATCAGAATCCCCCTATTGCGCCAACATTGCTGATATATGGACTGCAGCTGGCTAACTGTGCTAGAACTGAGTTCAGTCTGTCGCGAGAAGGGGATGTGGTAAACGCGTCGATTGATCAGACCCCCGAGCCGCTGAGAAAGAAGCGCATCACTTTGCCTCAAGAGAGGTTTCAAGACGATTATTCTGAGAAGATCACGGCTATCTGCCAGAACTGCAGCCACCATAGGCGTAATGACAGAAGTCTTACCTTCGCCCATGTTGAGCTGAAGCACAGAGTTTTTGCCATCATCCGGTTTGATCATCCGAAGTGCGACTTCCACCTGGCGCTTTCGAATCGTAATGTTGTTTTCGATTTCTAAAAGTAGCCAAGTAGGGTAGATCAAAGGGTCCCACTCTTCATACCATGGGCTTTCCGTGTTACTTAAGAACCCGTCGATATCATGCTTTTCAATGCAAGAAATCAATCGTTCACAACGACGCAAGGCAGATATTGACTTCCCAAATGCCACAAGTAACGCCCTCCACTGGGGGAAATGTTGGTCCATTGGTCAGAAGCCAAAATAGACAGAACAGACCATACAGTGATAGAAGGGCTGACAGTGTCAGTGCATAGTGCCCCTTTCTGTCCACTAATTTTCAAAGCGAGGATTATCCTTTTCCAGAGTGAGTCCCTGTCTTCCTGGATCTCCTTTTGGCGTGAAAGAAGTGCATTCGTTTGTGTCTGCCAGTCAAAAGACTCAGAAAAGTCAGAATTTCCAGTTGGCGGCACTGAAGTTGAGAAATCATGCAACGCTTGGACGCTGCGGCTTAGCCCATTTCCATACTCTTGTTCGCATCGGCTCGAGCTAGCTTGGAAATATTTTGCAAGAGCCCAAAGCTCAGCAGTCGGTCCCAGAATGGAAGAAGCCCTATGGTAGGTGATTGGACCAAATTGAGTCCCAGGGGGATCTGGACAAGTCATCTGGACTAAGTCAAGGAGACTGGGCGGTTGAAACGAACTGTATTCAACCGCCCTGGGGGGTATATCGGAGGTGGGAACAGGCTCCACGTTGTAATCCTGAGAGTTGGCGGGTGGCATTTGGCTTTGTACTTGGCGCAGGAACTCAAGGAAATTCCTATTTTGGTTCCAGTTGTCGCAGAGTGTTTTGCATTTCTCGTACGCCGCCGTTCTAAGAACCCGTGGAATCAAATGTTGAGATGGAAGCTGGGGAGATTTGCACGGCCACTGCTCTCTTACATGCGACCCACATAACTGGACATCCCTCTTCTTTTGTTCTTCCCATTCGGCTTCAGCTTTTCGGTTGTTCTCCGCTTGTTGTGCGCCAGTGAGGTGTGAACTTTTGGTCCTGGTGAAGATTTTATAACACTTTCCAATTGCATTCTCAACTTGAGCAAGGATAAGCTTCTCCCCCAGGGTAAGATCCAACGATATCATCGTGTCGCGTGGCACTGCAACATTTTGGCATTTCTTTGAAAAGGCAACTTGGAGCAATTGACGGAGGATCGACTGGTTGATTCTCCTACCAAACGCAAGAGTAGAGAATAAGGAAATCAAGAAGTAGGTGTCCCTATCTCGAGAGCTTGACTGACAGGCTTTGTACAAAGCCACCCAGGAGCTCTGAATGGACAGCGCTAGAATTTCCGAGAAAGAGGAACGCTCAAAATCGATTGAAACCAAAGAAACATTTTTGAGTTGCCTCATCGTTGCCACTAGGGTTGATGAATGATCAACGGTAGTAGGCCAATCTCTAATCAGAGCCGTGATGCCATAAACATCCCTGCCGCGGACACTTGTGATATCGCAATCGCGTGATATGTAAATATTCTTGGCCAACGAAGCAGGCGATCCGCTGAAGTTCGAGCTCCTCAGCTGCTCATTGCGGCAACGGGCACGCCTTAATAGACCCGTACTTCCCGGGTAAGAGATGCAGGTTTCCCTTGGCTTGGCATCATGAAAGTGTGAACATTGTTCTGACGACTGAAGGATCTCTTGTGACAAGAGCTGGAAGTCGTCATGTTGGGCAAGTTGACCTAAGTTACTAGACCACTTGACAGTTTGCATGACCTTCAGGTGTCGAGGATAAAAGTCGCGGCGTGGCGTAAGGGCTGCAATCCTTTCCAGAGTCTCGATACAATCATTGGGAAGCGGAAATGACGATCTTAAAGATGCTTGTCGTAGAATACGGATAGCCTCTTCAGTACCTGAGCGGTGAGTCAATTTATCAGGGCCTGGGAAAGAAGTGAGCGCGTGCAAGTAGGCTTGGTACAAGATCGCCAGGGGGTAAGATCCTCGGAGAAGTTGCAGATGCTGGTCCAAGAAGTAATGCATGTATTTCACCCTATTTCCCGGGGGAAGCTTTATGTTGACTGCAACATGATGATCCTTCCGAGTAACAACCGGGTATCCGTAAGGAACGATGACCGATTTATTATTGAAGGGATCGATAAGGACCAGTTTGTTTTTGAGTCCGTAGAAACAGCCAACATCTTGGTCCATATCAACCAGGGCACCGAACTCTTTCGATGCCACTCGTCCATCAGCCCTGACGAAGAATTTTAACCGTAAGCGGCATAGCTCTGCCTCTAACGTCCCGTCAGGTGCCTGGGTGACAACAATTTCCTCTTCCTCATCAAGGAGATTCAATATGCGGACGAATTCTGTAGAAAGCGGGCTGCGTATATCAACCAAGCTCTTAGAATCTTGTTGCATGACCATCTCGTTGGGTACACAAGGATCGAAGAACAGACGCCAATTGCGGTTGCAAGGTTTCCATGGCTGGCTGAGCGGACGAAATTCAACAACTCCAGTGTCCAAATCCAGCCAATGGAAGCTCTCAGAGACGAACATCCGGGGAAGTCCTTCTCGAGGACATCTTGTGGTATAAGTTGCAAGATCTGAGAGCCCTTGCGAGTCTTGATCAAAAGCCCTCCACCACGCATCCCAAAGTGAACCTGTGTAAGTTGTCAGATCGCATGTTATATAAACTGTTGGTTGCAGAAGGCTTACTTCAGATCCCTCGATGGGGTGTGACAGGACAAAGGACGCTCCGGGCAATGGCGACGGTATCACCGGAAGAACTCTCTATTAAAACGTCAATACACCTTCCTGGATGCACTAGAAATTGGGGTAGAATTACCTCTCCGAAAAGACGTCGATAGAGAGAATTGCTGGTAAATTTGGCGGGCAACCTCCCCGGGGGATTTCCATCCACCAGAAGCTCTCCTGTGAGATAGTTGAAGTGGAGTCGTTGCTCAAATCCTTGGATAATGCTGCTTGTCACTGTGGTTACCCAGCTACCACTTCCTTGGCAAATGCTCCAAGGCCCGGATACTTCAAGGCAGCTTATGTTCCTCCGAACTGCGTGATTCAATCCAGACGGGTATTTCATGATCATGCAGAGCATCTGTGATCTTGAAAGTAAACGGATCCTTTCCGCATTCTGCAAGCAGGCCTCTATGTTGGGTAAAAGTCTGTATGATTCTGATGGTGAGTTCTCAAAGAGCAAAATAGAGCATCGAGCGAAGCAAAACACATCTCGGGGAGTTTCCATGACGATCCTCAAAAGGATAGGGTCCACATCATAAGTGGCCTGGCAAGTTGATGCAATCTGAAGTATGTGCCCCTGTTGGCCTCCATCTTCCTTGCCTTCATCATAAAGATAACTTCCATTCAGCTCATCGCACCAATCCATTGCCACTTCTCGACATTCACGTAGGAACTCAGCTACCTTCTCAACCGATGGTGATCCACTCGACAATGCGAGAACACGCAGACTAAGTGTGACGATTAGGTCGAAGGTGCAATGCTCATTCCAGTTCTTCTTGATTTCCGTCAACCTCTCCTCCAAAAGGTTAAGCAGACAGTCACCAAAGCCTCTGTCCTCAAAGGCTTGATGTGTAACTCTCCTGACAGATTCGGACGGTGTCCCAAGTTCCCAAGCAGCCTGCTTAATAAGGGACACAACAGCTTCCTCATTTAGCGACAATGCTGACGACGCTAGGTTCCGCACAACATTGTACCATTGAAGCTTCTCCCCAGAGCGAAGGCACCCGTATGCCTCAAACTCATGCAAACTGAGGATTGTGTCACAATCTTTTTGGGTCGCCATGACCTGATTCTGGGTGTGGAAGGTAGAACCGAGGGTATATTGCAGATTTGAGTAGACACCACGAGGCAGTTGGATAGTGCACATGTCCTTGACTGTCGGGTCATTGATCTGCTCTCTCACCCAGCCGTTCGCGACGTTGTCGAAAAGCTTCAAACGAAGTGCGTTCTGTATGCAAATCTGATCGCATGAAACAGGAAATTTGTGCTTTCTGTAGTGAGACTTGCCCCACGATTTTGTATTCGAGGCCAAAACGAGGTTCGAGTCTCGTGTCACGGCGAACGCTTGAATTTCTTTGTATTGAAGCCACCCGATCTCCTTGTCGTGAGCAACCACTGTTCCCCTTCGCCCAACTTCGTGGAGAAGCTTCCAAGTAGTATTACGCCACGATGTAAACCAAATGGGAATATTCAGTTCAAAAATAGCAGTCTTTTTCTCGGCCGGATTTTCTGGAAGTGGCCATTCGTGGGCTTGAATGCAAAGGGACGCAGCTTGTCCCCTCAATAAACACTTGTTGCATTTGTGGATCAAGTGAACATATGCGCCGCAGCTATTGTACCCGAAATCATGGGATAGTCGATCCTCTTGTTCGCATAGCTGTTTGTATTTGGCACTTAGCATCTCCCATTCCGCGCGTTTTGATGATCGAGCTTCAGCTGCATGGTCCTCAATTTTGCGCTCGAGTGTTTGATGTTCCTCAGAGCTTTCAAAATACTGAAACCCAAAGCAATTCGGTGCTGGGTCACAGAAGATGCTAGGATTTGTTTTGACCGCTTCCTCGTGCCGCACGTTGATGTGGTGCTCGATCTCTCTCGCACGTTTCATTTGATCCAGCTTGGGAAGCAGTAGAGGTTCGAGGAAGTTCTGGGGGACTCCAGGGGAGAACTTCCCTAGCAGAGGACAGAGTCGAAGAGCCATTTTGTCAAGCACTACCCACAGTTCCAACACTACAAGGACCATGAGTGACGTGGCTTGTGGGTTGGAGGCGTATGCTGGCCGCGCGAGATGCAAGTATTGTGCAATGGTATTTTCAAGGTCACGACACGCTTTGACGTCCTTCGAAGCAGGCTGGCAAGTAAACCAAGACCCCAGGTGCTCGTCAACCCATTGCTCGAATTCACTGAGAGCCGTGATCGACCCCGATTCCGGAACAGGAAAGGCATTGCTCCAGTTCAAGTACGGTGTATGAGTCGGAAGAAACATTGTAGGCGGCGTATCATCGGCGGACGAACGCATTGCGACTTGAAAATAGTCTTTACAATGGAGCAGTGACAAGTGAAGATCATCTTGAGAGGCTGATGGTAGAATTGGCGGAATATTCACGTGGTTGGACGTCGTAATATTTTTTTGAAAAGACCCCAATTGCTCGAGTAGATATTTGCTTGTGGAATGTACCCGGTTCGCAACAAATAGAAACACTTCATCTTTCAGCTTGTAAATTCGACGGCCAATCCGAGTGTGGCTAATTTTCCAGCAGTCCACAACTTCTTGGGAACGCACGGACAGACCTCCCTTTGCTGCTAGTGTTGCCATGAGGTATAACATGAAATTCTTGTAATGAAGGCGACCCTCTGCTTGCGGGAAGCATCGCCGAAGAACCAGTTGTAGAGCGACTCGAAGGGCTAGCCAAGCTGGAGAGCGCCTCCACGGTAACAAAGCAGACATCCAGTTGACCTCATCTCGCACACATTTCACAAGCTTTACCTCTTCATTGTGTGTTCCGAGTGCCAGTAGTTGCATCATCAAGCCTTCTGTCACGAGGCCAGGATGGATGGTTTGCCGGATTTCGTCCACTTCGGTTCCAGCTTTTGTGCTTTTCGGCAGCATGTCGGACACTTCTTCAAATGCCAATTGCGAGATTGTGGCAGCCAGGTAAGAGCGGAACGTCGGATCGGCGAGTTTATCTGCTGAGATAATGACACTCACTCCAGGGAACCGACGTAATAGTCCCCCAGAAGAGGAGAGCACTGATTTGCCTTGAGCGGAGACTTCAAAGGCATCCACGATGAGCCTCTCTTTATCTCCATCGTAGAAAGCAACCCATCCGCAGTTCTGGGCTCTGATGTGACAGGCAATAGCCCCTAATCAGGTCAGCTTTCTCTTCCCACCTAAAATGTACTTGGGAGAGAAGATCCAAGTAGATGAAGTATAGAAGAACACAATCAGCTTACCAGATGTTTTGAGGTTTGACAAAGCATTCTCCAAACCAAGCTGTGAAATTCCCTGTTCGTCATGCAACTGAATCCAGCTACCCAACATGCTCCTGGCTAAGGCCCATCGCTGCTGGGACTCGGGGCTGACATTCTGGATAAAGTCTTGCAGTACACCCCTAATCACAACAATCATGCGGTTTTCCAAGTGAACAAGATTGCTTTCAGCCTCCTGTGGCAGCCTTAGGGGGAAGAATATGTGATGGAATATGAAGGAGGACAGATCGCCATCGACATCCATGGCCTGACTTTGAGACATGCTAGATGTGTGGATGATATCGGTGGAAGCAATAGATAGTAAAGTCGAATCAGGAATATTAGAAGCTTCCTTAACGACAAAGGATGTATGGCTGGTTAACTCGAAGAGATGAAGAAAAGCAAGGTGAAAGAAAGAAAAGTGGAAATGTGGATGTGGTGGTTGAGAAGGTGCGAGATATAAAGAAGTGCACGTACACCCTCCGCTCCTCAAAGCGGAAAATGGCTTCAGAATTTGCTGTGATAATATTTCTCCCCTCATTGACTATTTGTGAGTATCTAAACTTTAATGATAACACTGGAGACTACGGAGTATACCACCATCCTCACGATATATGGATATGATAAAAAGCAATATGAAAACCAGATCTTGTTGTCAAAATTGAAGAGGATCATGAGAGAAGTTTGCTCAATGAGCTCTCGGATTTGATGACCCTCTTTGGATTCCGTTGCCTATATTATGTTTGATCAGCCAAGATTGCTTCACCTAATCCAAACCTTCAGCTCATAATTTGATTCATTTTTCAGTCGCGTGTCAACTTACACTGACTTGAAGTAGTCAACCCATAACTAACTAGAAGATAGCCCTACAGCATACTTTGATATACGCTAGTCCCAATACAGATCACTAGTCCATATGGGGCTTAGTCTTGATTTCAACATGGCCTTAAAACATCCATGGATGGCCTTAATGATAGTCATTGCTAATGACGAACTTCTTCCAAGATTTAATCCTGAATGTACTCTGTACTCTGGATGTGCTCGATAAAATAACTAACTTCAATCCCCCATGGATTTCCCGTTGGATCTTACCATAGAGTGAGTTCAATTGTTGTAATTCTATATTTATTCTTGGGTGTGGGAACGATTGGCCCCATGATTGATACATGATTGATACTGAAGCGATCTCCGAGCTAGCCTTGTAAGGATTCTACTGTACGAGGAGTCTCCCACTTAACTAGGTACACCATATCAAAATTCCAGAGCGGATAAAGTCCAAGCAGAGGGGCGATGAAATTGCCAGGCCGTGCGAGGCCAACCCGCTTGGGGATGGTCGCTTGATGGTCGTGTGGGGAGAATGTGGGAGAAGCGGGAAAGATTTACTCCGCCATGAAGCAAAATGCAAAAAGGTAGGATCACCTTTAAGGATCTTATTTTAAAAAAGAGATTCCTCGTGCTATTCTTTTTAAATAGTCTTCTTCCTTGTTGGGTTAACATCCATCATACATCACGTATATATCGTCCCCGCACTCCCCCAGTAAAATGGCGAAAGCACCTCAAGATTTACAAATCGCCATTTTGGGCGCGGGCATGGGTGGCCTGACTTCTGCTTTGGCTCTCGCTCAGAAGGGATTTAAGAACATTGATGTTTATGAAAATGCCAGTGACCTCGGCTTTGTCGGGGCTGGTATTCAGTTGGCACCTAACATGGCCCGCGTTTTGGATGGGCTTGGTGTCTGGAAGGGTATTGAGGCCGAGGCCGTGAATATTGAAGACACATCAGTGCGAGGTATGTTACGATCTACCAATCAAACAATGTAATGCGGTCTAATCTATGGTTGCAGACGGCGCAACGGACACGGAGCACGCATATGTGGATCTGCGGTACATTGAAAAGACATACGGATATAAACACATGGTTGGCCACCGTGCATCACTAGCCAACGGACTATACAACGGCTGCAAGCAGCACTCGTCAATCAAGTTCCACTTTGGAATCAACGCAGATAACGTGGACTCGTTCGGTCCTCGGCCATCATTCACAGCTAGGCCCCGCGCCGAGGGAGCTGCTCCATTCAAGGTCGAATGTGATGTGCTTCTTGCAGCAGATGGTATTAAAAGTGTCACCCGGGTGGAGATGCTAAAGCGATTGGGTGTCGACGTTGGTGTTAAAGACACCCAGCAAGCCGCTTATCGTATCATGATCCACAAGGAGCAGATCAAGGACGACCCCGAGCTTTTGGCTCTCATCAACAGCAACCGTGTAACCCGCTGGATTGGCCCAAAGCGTCATATTATCGCCTACGCTGTCTCCAACAACACTATCTACAACCTCTCCACTACCCAGCCCGACACCCACTTCGCAGCCGCCACAAATGCTACCTATACCACCAAGGGCTCCAAGCCTGCCATGATGGATGTTTTTGCTGACTTCTGCCCCATGGTCCAACGTATGCTAAACTACGTTCCTGAAGGCGAGGTCTGCGAGTGGAAGTTGCGCGTCCATGAGCCTCTCCCCACTTGGGTCCACGACTCCGTCGCCTTGGTTGGTGATGCTTGCCACCCTACCCTACCCCACCTGGCTCAGGGTGCTGCCCAGGCCATTGAAGACGGCGCCGTTCTCGGTGTAGTTCTTTCCAAGCTCCCTGATACTACCCCAGAATCTATCAACAAGGCTCTCCGTGTTTATGAGAAAGTTCGCAAGAGTCGCGCTGAGGCTTTGGTTGACATGGCTAGTGCTTCTGGTCGTGCCCTGCACTTGGGTGACGGTGCTGCTAAGGAGGAGCGTGACAGGCAATTTGCCGCCCTCCGTGCTGGCAAGGGTCCCGTGCCTGATAAGTGGGCTGATGCCGATGTGCAGCGTGAGATCTATGGCTTTGACTGCACCAAGATCGCCGCGGATAATTTCGATGAATACTTCTCGCAGATGTAAGCATTTTTCATTAATATCCTTTGCCCATTTTTTGCGTGTTCGATATTTTCCTTTTTGTATACTTATGTCCTTCGAACTACACAGCAGAACAAATGAGAATATCATGACACCACCAACCACTTTTCTTTCCTTGAAGAACATGGTACTAAACTTCTTTTCCTTCCTACAGGGATATTACAACACGTCACTCTAAGCTTGCATGAAGGCTGGTCAGTTTGGTTGTACACGTGTGTTCGATGAATTAGATCAATAGAACCGAATATAATCTCGGATCCGTCTTCAATATATCAACTGGCCAATTTATCGAGTTCCGCGCTCTCCTGTAAAGGGATTTTTCGACATGTTGAAGTTGTTTATAGGTAGCATCTTTAAAGGTCTTCCAAGGTCTTTTTTAGAAGGGTTCTTTTCGCCGAAACATTGTTGTCTATGTCGTAGTTGAGCCGCAAAACAATTTGCGCGATGGCCGGCTTTGCTTATCAGCATCGACGCGAACCTCCGAGTTCACAAATCCGTCCAACTTAGTGCATTAAAGCCGCGTCATGGTGTTCTTTCCAGACTTCTGATGATTTCAGATAAATGCCTTTTCCGGCAGTATGTCTACGGTGCGATTTATCGGTTCTCCAGGCTAACCAGGCTGGTCACAGACTCCATCACCATTCCGCCTCTCCCGCCGCAACCCACCCACGCGTCGCAGTGGCCCTCAATTCGCACCTACACCTCGGTTTCTCCTATCACAAAGTGCGACACAAAAAGAAGATGATGATATTGACGTGATAGACGACGATGGGCCATCTTCAACGCGTAAAGTCGCGCTTAACCCGCCCGCTACCCAAAGTGCCACCCGCGCGCGCCAACAACGCGACGTGATCGAGGACTCTGATGATGCCGCAGATATAGAGGATATACGAATCGGAGCCATAGCTGCGGGTGACCCAGCATATGATGCCATAGACAGCACTCCTCCCGAAGAACCAGAGACTCCGGGCATCCTGGACGCCGAGTTCGATGCACTATTTGAGCCGGTCAGAGATGGGAATAAACGGCGCCGTGTGGAGGGAGCGGCGCCCTTCAATCGAAGCAATCTAACACAAGTTGATCCGATATTGTCATCACCACCCGAGACTGCGAACCCTCCAGCCGGTCCCATCGATTTGCCCGATAAGACCAGGCAAAGCACTGCGACATGGGATATAAGCACCCAGAGAACTCCCGCACCAAGTGCACGTCCATTCGCACCACCCGCATCAACCCCAAGCAACATGAAAACACCATTCCGCAGTCGTCCTCGGTTTATGCTTTCCTCGACGGTGAAGCCTCCCAGCAGCCAGTCTACACCCAAATTCAAACTAGACACACCGGGTCTATCGCCGCCCGAGAGACGGAAACCGGCTTTTGTCTTGCCTCGTTCACCGTCGCCGAATCTGGATTCTGAGGACATCCCTGCACCGTTCTCTCCCTCCTCGCGCACACTGCGTCGTCGTGGTCGAAAACGAGCCGGTGTGTCCAATTATATTCCTGACGGAATGGCCGCCGAGGTACGCGGCTGGATCTTGGAGATGGGAACAAAGCGTGACCAGTTGCCAAAGCCCCCCTTGTCTCAAACTCCAAACTCGCAGGCGCCGGATGCCTCGCTGGAAAAGCTGAATGCGTATCTCCTAACTGCGCGTGTCACCCATGTCAGTCAGTCAGCTTTGAGCGGATGTGGCGCTCTCGCCTTTCTTCAAGCAGAAGTGCTTACTGGGAATCATGTGCAAGGGAGAAATCCTAATGCGGCCTTGAATATCATGATTATGGGACCTTCCCGGTCTAAATCCGCCGTTCGTTCACTTCCCTCCCATTCAGATGCCACTGTCACACCCCCTCTACGGAAAGGAGATATAGTGGGGATTCACAGAGGGCTCAACTGGAATTTGGAGCTTGGAATTCCATTCTGTGAACATGGAATACCTGGCCAAGTAGCTGATAATGTGTCGGAGTGTGGTCCATCTGAAAATGACGGACACCCACAGACAAAAGAGGGCTGGCTCATAGCCATGGAATGGGACCTCGTTGAAACGGCTCCATGAGTGAGCGTGGTCTGTATATCGAGGTGTATCTTTCCCTTCTACTTTACATGTACTAAATCCACTTTTACTCCTTTTTCGGTCAGCAGCAACAAAGAAAAGCGTTCAGTTTGCCCACGTAAAACAAGTGCATACGCGACCTGTCGGCCACTGAATCCACATCCCAATCCCAACATCCGTGGAGCTATATCAAATCATCTGAGTTCATCTGGCATTGAATCATCCTACAGCTCTTGAAGTCGAGATCTGAATTGTAATGACACTCTGTTAGGGGTGCAGAACTCCTCTGCTTCGAGGAAAATGCCCATCTTTCTTGCTTCCGTGACATGCTCCTCATCGTAGCGGTCACGCCTCGAAAGATACTCGATTACGCGGTCATACCAATAGCAATCGAGGAATTCTTCGATGGAAAGGCCAAGCTCATCAAGTTTGCTTTCCATCCCTTCCATCAGTTCCTCAAATTCTTTGACCAAGAAATACTGGTCGTCTGAGATCCTACCAATTTCTGTCTCATCTCTCCCTTCGTCGGGCACAATCGGCCAAACTAATCCACCTGGATATATTTCAGTGCAGCATGTATGCGTAAGGCCCAACGCATCAAACGTCAAGGCTCTGACCACCGCTCGTGGAAGATCTGGCCAGTAATCCTGCCATACAATGAGAGAGAGGAACAATTTCCGGAGCGGGACATTCGTGGATAGCGGTCCCCACTTAGATATCCCCAAAAGGAGGGATCGAAGTGCCACTGAGAGTGTGGTACATCCGCCATGAGAACAGGCGCAAACGCAGCAGTCTTTTGTAGGAGATACAAAAAAGCCAGCATCTCCTAATTCGGCAACACCTCTTTCCCAATTGCGGTGCTTTTCGTCGCGGCTATCTCCTTTAAATTCCAGGTCGTAAAGATACATATGAATAACTTGACTTGTGAGAAGATGAGCAACTTTCGCATTTGATCTCGGCAATCTCCGTTCAACCCAAGCACCTCTCGACATCAACCAGGCCGCACACTTGATCATCACAGACGTGTCGGATAAATAGAATGGATCGAACATCATCAAGGGCGTTATACCACTCTGGCTGGGCAAATCAACGTCATGGAAGCCAATTTCATACATGTTATGCATGATCTTGAAGAAATCCTTCGATTCGTTGGCTAACCAGGTTTGGTAGATGGCCGTGGACCCCGGTAAATCAGTCTCAAATTGTAACGGGACCGGGACGTATATCCCGTGGGCAGCTAGAGCCGTGCATATGTTTGCTGGAGGCCCACCGAGAGACGGAATTTGATCGGATGGCAAGGAAGATTCGGCGAGTGTACATAATCTTCTTCGTCTTGCTGCCAAATGATCGATCAGTAGTGAGTATCTTTTACCACCATCGTTACATTGCTCGTTGTTGACAAAATCGACCACTTTAATCAGACATCCCGCTTCAAGTAAAAGAACGGCAGAAGCGTGGTACTGTTCTCCCTCGGCCATAGCAAGGGCAGGAAAGTGAAAATGAGGATTTCCCCTGACTGTAGAAGAATTTGTATCCCCTTTGGCCACCCAAATGCGAATTCAAGTGACCGAGTGGCATTTATCCTGTCATTTGGCGAAATCCCACTTGCCAAAGCTTCCTTGAGCTCTTTCTCGGACTCAAGAATGATTGCTTTGGCTATCTTCGTTGCTTGAATCACTGGGAATTTAGGTTAGTCTTATAAATAAATGACAAAATATACCCCCGGGGAGCGATAGTAGAAATACATACATTCTTCGTCTTGAGAGAGAACAAGTCGAACATTATGTTTCAAATTGACATAATCGGGAGCAGTTGAAAATAAATAATAGGGGAAATATAACTGGAGTGGTCCTGTAACCTCAACCAGGTCCGAAATCAATGGAAGATCTTTCGTCTTGAATATAGCCTTTGTGTAAATATACATCAGTGGACTATAATGCCAGGGGCGCTCTCGCGTTGGCTTCATGCCACATCCTAGCATGAATTGGACGATTTTCAACCCCATCTGAAAATCAGTACGCCGGATTCCGATTCCGAACCAAACCTATCTTCAATAAGAATCATGTTTTGGGTAGGGGAGTTTGTGAATACATCCATAAGAGATTCGGTTCCACCTCTGGAGGAAGAGAAGGTGTCGTAGGGAGACAATCGTTGCTCAGAGAAAGCACGTAGGAGTGTTGGAATGAGCAAACCATCTTGGCGACTGTCCCGTGTTATATTCATAAGTTCGTTGTATCTCTCACCATGCAGCTCCCATACACTTTGAATATGCAAGTGTGGGGCAATAGACAAGCCTCCAGCGCCTCGAATCATGGAGAAAGATGCAGATATTGCAAAATTCAAAAAGCGGTTGTGATAGGTGTAGTGTATGCTCTTGTCACTCTTTTTGACTGAGCCCTAGTCCACACTTGCCGCTGATTTGGGAATCCATTGCTGAAAATAGTCAACTAATGTCCATACGACGGTTTTGTACATGGCATACCCGTCAACCCCTAGATCTGTCTGTGCCAATGGGCCACTGTCCGAAAGCATCATCGGTGGTTGTTTGTGCTGAGAATCACACGCAAGTTGAAGTAAACTTGGCGGTGGCAAGCCTGTAGATGATATAGCCATCTTGAGGGTGCAATGCATACTCTGCACCTCTTCGTAAGTTGGAATTTGCATGGCTCGGTACTCCCTCATATCCTGCCAGTTATATCTGCCCAAGGGTCAATAGTCACATCTTCAAAGGGTACATATTCAGCCAGATTCTATACCCACATCAGCAGTGATGTTTGCAGAACGTTCTGAATCTGATCCAAATGATTCTGCACGTCTTGCAAAGTGTCTTTCTGAAAGTAATATACGCCCTTCTTCAGCTGAGCACGAACTTTGTCCGGGAAAGCCTCTGACTGCGCAGGCTTGAACCGGTCCACGATCTTCTTGGGCTTTTCGATTGAACTTCGCATGCTCATGGCTTTCTCTTCGAGATCTGCAGCCACTTCCGGCCGTGTTTGCTGTAATTCCTCTATCGTGTCACGTAGAGTCTTCAGAAGCATGCGAAGAGCTTTCGCCTTGTTCCTCGCATTTTGAATCTCTTCGTCGTAACGCCGCCATGTCTGACTGTACGAGACGATCCCCTGGCAGACTTGTAAGCCGAGGGATATGATGCCGACGGCGGTACCCGCAAGCTCCATATTCCAGGATATAATCCTTCGAGATCGAATGTGGTTGTAAAAGAATTGAAATCATATAGAAGGGATCCATGTTCGCAACCTATCGGTCGCCAAGGAGGCAGTGCTAGTGTCATGCAGCGTGGTAAGCGTGGCCTCAATCAAACGAGGGGATTAGCGCTTAGCTGAATAAGATATTTTGGGGTTATATTTGGAACATTGCCTTTAAGCAAACGGTAATCATTCGAGAAACCTCCTACAGTAGTGGAACAGTCAAGGATATGGGATAATTGTGTGATCTGCTAGATTTGCATGGAGGGGCGTCGCTGATCTCGTCTTATTCAAACCGATCAAACCTCAAAAGTTCTTACAAGATTTTTTTTTTTTTTTTGGTGGGAAAAGCGTGGAACGTAAACAAATCATGAATAGCGTAACAACTTGGGTATATTCTATATGCAACTGCAAGATGATTCCAATGCAATCCTTACTCCGCCACAGCCTTAAGGGCATCCGCAGCCACATTGCATCCCCACCGAACTAGCTTGAGTTCCTCGGGGGACACAATATCAGTCTTTGCGACAACCTTTCGCACAAAATAGATAAGGCCCTTGGCAATGTGTGGTGTCTCCCTGACACGCAGGAAGATTTGCATCAAAGGTCCTTCATCCTTCTCAGGCTCATCTGGTGTGGAGTTCTTCGACTTCTTCTTCTTCTTGGACTTCTGAGATTGTTGAATGATACTGATGATCAAGACTTCGACAAACGTCTTCGTCTTTGGCTGCAGATATGCGAAGTTGAGATTCTTCAAAATGCTCAGTGTCAAGCTGCCGTCCATGATGAGGGTGCTGAACATCTTGGCCAGGTTGACCACAGACTTCATGCTGACACCGTTCTCCTCATCATCTGGATCGAAGTCGTTATCTTCATCCTCACCAATATCTCCTCGCTCGCCCATTTTCTTGAACTCATTCCAAAGTGCAAACATAAAGGACATCTTGATGCGTCGACCTTGCTCACCGCAAATCCGACGGGCAATCAGAGAATAGTATGGGTTGTGGGCCTGTTCCTCCATGGCACAGTGTAGGAGGACACGAGGGATTTCAAACTCCTGCGCCCGCTTGAGACGAAGCTTCATGAGTCGGACATGTGCATCTTGGAAGTCGTTGGCAGACATGATGGCAACGAAGATCGATCGACGAACGTCGGTGTTCATGCGGTGGGCACGGGCAAGAACACCAAAGTCAGGCTCGCCGTCGCTTCCATCATCTTGGTCCTCAGGTTGGGTCGTTTGCAGACCAGCCATTTCTCTTTGTGCTGTTATGAGAGGATCTTCCTTCCAGCTTGCACCGACCAACCACCACTTGCCCTTCTTGGAGGAGTTGTGGATATCGTCACGGGAGATGTTAATAGGTTCGGATGCGCGAATCACCCGAGAGTTGTTCAGAGAACCCAAAATTTTGCGCATTTTGGTAATGTGTTCTGTGGTGATACCTGCGCCAGCCGCAGCGGAGGCTTTGGAGCGGTTGTTTTTCAAATCCGTGATGAGGTCAATCATAAACTTCGTTCGAACGGAAAGACTATCTTCGCCAACCTTCGCGACAGCGGGCTGAATGAGCAATACAATATCTTTGAGTGCGGACGGGTCATCGAGCCGAAGTTGAGGGCCAGAATCTATGTAGACGTTAGGGGGCTAATATTTCAACCATGGTTAGAAATATCACTTACTTCGAATGACCTTGAGCAAGAGTTCGGTGTTCGCTTCCGTGATATCCTGCACGTAAAGACGAACGTAGTCAAACATCAAGGAAGAACCAATGACGTGGAAGTTGTAAAGTTGCGAGAGAAGAGAGACCAAGTTGGTAGCTTCTTTTCCTTGGAACTTTCCACGCTCATCGCCATCTGCATCCAATGTTTCGACAACTGTTTGGATAATCTCTGCACCAACGTCCATTCCCATGAGTTTATACAATGCCGCAATGAAACCGGCATGCAAGATGAGGAAGGTGTCCTGAAGGGCAGCCCTCTCGCAAATCAGGCCCATTAGTAGGCTGATCAAGGTAGATGTGACGTGTTGGCGTGGGTAATCGCGGTAAAGCTTTTCGAATTCGGCAACAATCGAGAGCATGTTCGCCTCGGACAACTTGTTGAGATGTCCCTGGGCCTGGCGCTTGAGGCGAGTGAGAGATTCGCTTTCCGGGTCTGAGAGACCTCGTAACGAAGGTGGAATGTACTTTTGGGCGGTGGGTTCGGTTTTCGTGACTGGGGCGATATAAGGATTCTCCTTCTTTTTTGGCTCCTTGCGTTCTTCCTCGTCGAAACCGTCGAAATCACTGCCTTCGGCGGCCTCGTCAGAATCATCGCCTCCAAAGATTTCCTCGTCGAGATCGAGATCCTCGGCGCTATCCATTTCACTGTCATCTTTTTCGAGTTGTTGGGCTTGCAAGCTCTTCGCCTTGAGTCTCTTGTTTAGTAGCCAATCATCGGCTTCTCGTTTGCGTTTTTTGCTCTCATCCTCTGAGGCATCGCCGCCACCACCACCTAGGTCTCCCAGCAAATCCTCTAGTCCATCCTCCTCGACGGCCTTTGGTTTACCTCCTTTCTTGAGGCCAAGCTTTTTCTCCAATGCAGCAATCTCGGCATCGTCTTGCGCCAACTTAGCCTTGACCGATCCGGGGATGTGGGCCTCAGTTTGTTCGGGCTCATCCTCGGGCTCGTCTTCGTAGGCGTCGTCATCCGACTCGTCGTCTTCATCCTCATCCTCATCCTCATCCTCATCCTCATTGAGGTCGATTTCTGACCCGAAACCGGACTCGGGCTCAGAGTCGGACTCGGACTCGGAGGCCTGTTGATCTGCTGCTTTCTTCAGGATAGATTTGGGCTTCTTCGCGGCCTCTTTCGTGGATTTAGATTTGGTCTGCGGTGCACTAGGTCCCTCGTCGAGATCCATGCCGTCGTCCTCGTCGCTGTCATCCTGGGCCTGCTGCTGAGGCTTTTGCTGATGCCTCTGCTGTGGGCGGTCAAAGGTCTTCTTGGTCTGCGGGGCTGTGTGTCGGGATTTCTTCTGCGTACGCTCATTTTGGCGGCGTTCTTTGCGCGAGGCAGGTCCGTTCAGGCGACGCTTCTTGTCACCGTAGACATCACGGATTCCGAGCTCGGATCGTAGATCGCGAGGCAAAGCCGTCGTATTATGCCGAGGGCGGGGCATCTTGTTCCGCTGAGATATGTATTGTGTCTGCTCTCAAAAACTTCAAATGTCGGTCCTCGATATCAGGTACCCCGGGCGGTCGGCAACTTTTTTCACTTTTCTGCTGCCCCAAAACAAAGGCGGAGAGGCACCCACAGCGGAGTTTCTCCCCCACTGCGAGTTATGCCCAGCTGTCAATTGCATATTGATCATCTGCTCCAGCTTTCAGATCTCTTAATTATCGCCCGCCTCAAAGAAAATATCCCCAAATATGGCCCCACATCTGGGACACGATGAGGTAAATATTGTTATTGGTGTTTACCTGACCGCTACACCTCCGCACATGCGACCACCGCCAATTCCAAGCTATATATCACTAATACCGGTCACCTTTAGTTCTTCAAATCTCTCACCGAACTGCTCTCCAAAACTTCCCAAGAAACCCACGGCTCGGTAAACCTCACTCAAAAACCTCTCATTGATGTGCCCGGTGCCACTACCACAAACTCCCAACCATCTATCCTCATTCGAGCTACTGATGGAAACACCAATACGCCGAACCTCAAGAACGCAAGCAAGGAAACCCAGATCTCCATGAAGAAGTCTCAGAAGATAAAGCTCTCAACCATCGTCAACCCAGATGACATTGAGGCGTTCTACGTTCGCTACGCCGAGGTCTGCAAAGCAGGAATGTCCGGGTTGAAGAAGCGAGATCGCCGCGGCCGCAAGGCCAAGACGAAGGGCGGAGCTGCTAAGGTCACAAAGGCATAGATTTGCTGTTCGGTCTATTCCCTAGCTGGCATGATCGTATTTATATGCTCGGCTCGGACCTGACACGCATGTGTTTTGATGGTTTCCTTTTCTCATGCATTAGCTGGCGTTCGATGGTGGGTACGGCTTCTTGTTCTCAAAATTTTCAATGCGAACTTCCTATCAAGTGTACATATTCCCCTACGCTTGTGGCTCACGGGCGCTGTGTTTGTTTATACGAGTCCTATGGGATGGGAAAAGAAATAAACGGGGTTTAGCATTATAGTTGGGCGTGCCACTATCCGTAAGTTGCATCTCAAATACCTTTGTTCAATCGTTTAGATGAGAGCCGATGGCATTGCGTAGGCCTTTTTGTTTAGGCTATACATATAGAATGGAGATTGAAAGAGCGTATTTGTATCAATTAATTAATTATTCGTTTATGACATGACCCCGAATTCCTGTCAATGAGACACGCAACGCTAGAATACAGAAATTCAGTAGAATACAAACCATGCCATATATCCACCCATGAGCCGTGCAAATCAGTGCCAAATATCATAACAAGAAAAGAAAAGAAAAAACATTAAGATGGTCCGTGTAGAGAGAGGGGAATACAAAGAGTAAGCATTAAATCGACCGTAAGTTGGGGGTAAAGATCCAGATAAAGAAGTGAAAAGAGTAAGAAAATTAAAAGTGGGCATGTCAATCATCCGACTAGTCCAGATCCCAAGGGTCAAGTTTCTTGAAGATTTCAGCATCCTCGTACTCCGAGGAAGTTCGAGGCTCCAGTGGAAAGCTGAAGTCATCCTCTGTGGCTGGATCCTTCCTTGTGTGCTGGAAATGAGAATTTGGCTCACTCGGTGTGGAGGTGATAGTCGGCTGGATGGTTGGGTTGATGACGATGCGCGCAGCGATATGGAGAAGAATAACGAAAAGATAGGCAGGGGGAATCAATACTAGGGTGATAGCCTTGGAAATGAAGGACGAGCCATCATCACCGGATGGTTGGTACAATGCCGAAGAATGAGGCATGGGAGAAATGTCACGGTCTCTTGTGGCTTTTGCCCGGCGTCGGAACTCGGCACTCATGTGGTCGAGATCAGTATTCAGTGCAGTGGCCTTGGCATTGGGGCTTGGGCGCATTTGAGTGTCCGAAGACGCATCTGTAAAACGACCGAATCGATTCACATTGCTTGCAGGAGCCATTGAGGGTGAGGTGTCGGAGAACGCATCTGCGAAGCGCCTGGGCTGATTATTCAAACTTTCATTATGCATTAATGGAGGACCAGGCACGGTGGCTGGGGTTGGGACGTCGTCGCTTTGAGGAATATGCAGTGTCGGGGGCTGTGATGTCATACATGGATCCGCTGGTGCTGATTCCAATCCAGACATGATGTGTTTTGTGCTCGAAAGATTGAACATTTCTTCTGGCTCTGGCAGATCATGGCCTCCCACAGATGTAGGATGAGTAGAGACTGAATCTGGCGATTGAGGCTCGGCGGAATGGAATGACTCGGGGCTGGACGTAAAGGAGGCATCATGATCAACCTCCAGCTTGGGTTCGGCAGCGGGTTGAACGGATTGGACTTCTTCGATGTTCATGAAATTATCTTCCGGTACTGCCTCAGCCTCGACTGCACTGGTGGTTTCAGCACAGAATACAACTTCCTCGACTTCCTCCGGGGTTTCAGCCGCCAATACTTCGTCGGTCTCGATTGAGACGATGGGCTCCACTTCAACTGCAGCCTCGCTGGAAGCTTCGGCTTGCGATATAGCCTCTAGCCGGAGTTCAGGTTCAGCCTCAGGTTGCGCTTCGACTTTGAATTCAGCATCTAGTATAGGTTCAGACTGAGGCCTGACTTCAACTCCACCGTCGGCTAGTAACCCAGGTTCGAGTTGGTTTGTAACCTTGGGCTCGTGAGCAATTGGAAGTGCAGCATCAGCACTGGGTGCGTATTCTGGCCTGGGCACTGATTCAAAGTCATCGTCATCCCTTGAGACTGATGTAGCCTCAAACTTTGCAAGCAGGCTAGTGAAAGTTTGCGGTGCTTCGGACACCGAGCGTCTAGGAGGCCCAAGGTATGGGGAAGGACTCAAATTCCCAACAGGAGATGATTCCTGATCGTCCGGAATAGCCTCCAAAATTGTACTGTTCGCTTTGTTCGAGGTGAAACAACTGTCATCGGTCAGGTTTCCGTCGGTGTCGTCCCCGGTGCTCATGGAATCGATACAATCCGACCTGACCGAAGAGGGTGATGGTGTCTCTCGCGGAGGTTCTAGGACGGTTGGTATCCTTTCTCTCCGATCTTTGGGTTGCCAGGCCTTTTTGCGCCGAGGTGCCATCGCGTCTGTTGGGAGTTCAACGCTGAAAGCGCGTTTGAAAGGACATGGCGTGACCTCATACCGAAGCACTGTTGGCAATGCGATCCTCAGATCCCGCACCAAACTCTGGTCGTCTTCCGTCTCGTATGGTATCTCGATGCGATAGTATGTAAGAGGGCGGATGCGTAAAACAAACTTTGACACCCCGTCAACACACCAACACTGCGAGTTTTTCAGGATCGCATGGACAACATTTCCACATTTCAGAAATGCGGTTGAGCCATGGACCTTTTCTAGCCTCAGTGGCGCTGTTGCGACTGTTCTTTCAGTCGCAGAGCGCCAGGGGAGTGTTTCGATGGTGTCAACTGGGTAGTCGAAGTCGGATGGCGCAGAACTGGAGGGAATAGGGGCGAGCGCTCTTGGGGAGAAATGCACAATTTTCGCAGATGGGTGATAAAAAATTACATGCTCGGGGGTATTCGGGACACTCGAGCGACGTTGCGCAAGAGGATTTAATTTGGTAGGAAGGGTGAGGGAGCGGCGGAGGGATTGTATCTGACCTAGCTCACTTGGAGACTCAGGCATGGTTCATGGATGCGATCAATAAGGGATAAAGGAGAGCCTGTAAAGATATTAATGTACAGACATGTTTGTACAAGATGCTAATGCAAGAAGCCAGGGTATCCGATGCAGGAAACTCAGGAAACGGGGCTTATCTGCGGGGAGATGCACTGTTGCCTCAGGCTATAAACATCAGGTGACCATGACGCAGCTTTCAATGGAGGCCAGGCATCCACAGTTATTTCGGTTTTCACTTTCAAGAATGCATTGCTGCTAGCTTCTTAACTATTCCGACAGTCCTGGTGTTCTCTGCAGTGGTATTCCCTGGGATACTTTACATCCTTGAAAGCCACAATGTCGAGCTTCGAGCCAAATGCCGTGATCCGCGGCTTCCAGCTCACAGTGGTAGGCAGTATGTCACCCTATATGTTTTGTTTCTATCTCCCGATCATTCAGGGCGATTGGTTTAAAATGTCTAGAAATCCCTGGCTACACAAAAAATTCCATCAATGTCTCTAGAGCTATATAGCGTCGGAGTCGGCTTATGCCAAGACTTTGATCAAGGTGCTACTTGGACTGAATTTAGCCAGCCACATTTTGTCATTTGCCTCGGAATGATCGCCTGGGTGGGAATTGTTATTTTGGACCCTTGCTAACCGAAGCTTGCAGCTGTTCGTGCATTAGCGAACCCTGAATTATTCAAGTACGACCATTTCCGGCAAGCGGCTCTCGCAATAGCCATCGGCATAGTGATTCAATTGATCATTCAAATTCCAGTATGTTTTGAACATACCCTACGCTGATTATGGGCTTATATCTAACCTCAATCCAAGATACTCAGCGTGAGATTCTCAATCTACGTTTTATCATGGGTGATCAACATGGAACAGGCTGTCTGGGACGACAAGCTTCTCGATGGATTGGAATTCATGTCCAAGTCTGTCCTTCAGGTGCCATTCTTGCTCATGACCCTGATGCGATATGTGACGCCCACGCTGGACGAAATGTACGTTCTTTTGGCAACACACTCATTAACAGTGTTCGCTGACCATCTCACTAGTTTCATGCAGTCCATTCAATGGGTGGACATGACATATATTCAGAAACATAAAACCGAAGATCCCCGTCACCTACGCTCTCTATACTACCCCAATCTTGTTCAGTACTCGGCCAAAGGTGGTTCCAGCGTTTCTCGCCCAATTCCCCAAGCATTGAAGTCATTCTTCAATCGCTATGCAAAGAAGATTGGTATGATGCTTGGTATATATCTTCTGTCGATGGTTGTAATCATCGGTCGGTTCGTTATGCCCGCAGCAAGTTTCTACACATTCCGAAGCCATGTCGGCTCCACCCCCGCGGCTGTCATTTTTGGCGTAGGCTTGATTCTGCCGAAGCACTACATTGTCACGTTTCTTCACACCTACTTTGCTTCGCGCAGTCTGATGCGTGAGCTTGTAAGTCCAACACCCTCCAACCCTTGGGAATTATGCTAACAACTTCTAGCTCGAACCCTACTTCTGGCGCATCAAGTTCACCCCTGAGCAAAAGCGTCGCTGGTTCCGCGACCGAGAAGGTGTCCTCTTCGGCTTTGCCTTCGCTTTCACGGTCCTTCTGCGGATCCCATACATTGGTGTGCTGATGTATGGCGTCGCCGAGGCATCTACGGCGTACCTTGTCACCAAGATCACCGACCCGCCTCCACCTCCAGCTGAAGGTACAAACTTCGCGGAAAGCCAGGTTACCTGGAAGAACAAACATGATTTCTTGCGCTTATCTCTCGATAATCTTGACAAGCTCAATGTCGACACGGATGACGATCAGAAGGAATCTGGCTCCCCGGGAAAGAAGTTTACTTGAGAGCCGTTAGTCTTGAGATTCCCACAGCAAGGCTTTCATTCGCGAAGTAGATATGCACCATGCACATCAAAGCATTATTAGCATATAAGGCGACCATCCCACAATTTTTCTGTTGCCCTCCTTTAAAAGCAGCCTCATTTATTTACAAAAATACAATTGATCTTCATCAAGGCTTGGTATTCCCGTCGGGGTCCATAGGGCGCTAGCTTATCAGACCGTTGATATGCGGGATAAAGCGATGATAAGCCAGATCTCCAACGCTTCACGTAACTGTTATTCATGACCGCATATAAATGGACCGGGCGTCTGCGGGGTAAGACCCTTATCGTGAGGGGGCTCTAGTTCAGAATAACTCGGTATACTTGGGGTTCCCCAGCTCATCCCGAGCCCGGGGTTTATACTCGTCAGCCTATAACCACCACCTCAATCGCATTAACCGTCTAACAAAGTCCTAATAAACGCAAATATGGGTATCAAGGGAATTCGTACTGCTCTAAAGGTCGATCTCGACAAGCCTGCGTGGGAGCAGCCTGGCCTACATGTATGTGCTTATGTTCTTTAAGTCGTGAAACATTACTAAGTCCCCGATAGAACAGATGGCATCCAGACGGTATGTCAAGCCTTGGTTAACTATAGCAGTCTCATTGAAGACAGTTTACTCTAATACAAACTCTTGAACTCTCCAGTGCCGGCCCACGGAAAAATCGCCAACAATGAAGTTGTCAAGATCGAATGTCTCGATTGGACTGGAGGCCAGATCGGAAACAATGACTCGGCCGACGATATCAAGAATGTAGACTTAACCCAAATCCATTACCTATCCGGTCCATTCGACATCGAAACCGCAGAGCCTGGCGATGTCTTGCTCGTCGAGATTCAGGATGTCCAGCCATTTGAAGACCAACCATGGGGATTCACCGGAGTCTTCCACAAAGAGAATGGAGGAGGTTTCCTCGATCAACTGTATCCCGAGGCGTATGTTAACACCGATATCATGGTATGAATTCATGCTAACATTATCACAGAGCTAAGGCGATTTGGGACTTCGAAGGAATCTTCTGCTCCTCTCGACACATCCCGCATGTCCGGTTTGCAGGACTAATCCACCCTGGAATCCTGGGGTGTGCCCCATCAGCCGAAGTGCTGGCTGAATGGAATCGACGAGAGGGAGAGCTGATTGCAACTAATACTGTTGCGGATCGAATTGTCGCTCAGCCACCGAATCCCCAGAATGCCCATGCTGGCAGTGCTGCCAATGACATGAAGAGCAAGATTGGTAATGAGGGTGCTCGAACTATCCCAGTGAGATATCATAATACACAACAAGGCTGTACTATATACTCATGCGTCTACTAGGGCCGCCCCGAGCACGGAGGTAATTGCGATATCAAGAACCTCTCCCGCGGATCGAAAATCTACCTCCCCGTCCACGTCCCTGGCGCCAAATTCTCCGTCGGAGACCTGCACTTCTCGCAAGGCGATGGCGAGATCTCATTCTGCGGAGCCATTGAAATGGCCGGTGTAATCACATTGAAGTTCACGGTTATCAAGGACGGCATGGCAAAACTAGCCATGAAGTCACCGATCTTCCATGCAGGGCCTGTAGAGCCGCAGTTTGGCCCTGGGCGATACCTGACATTCGAGGGATTCTCTGTCGATGAGAATGGCAAGCAACATTTCCTGGATGCGACAGTCGCCTATAGACAGACCTGTCTCCGGGTTATTGAGTACCTCCGGCGCTATGGCTATAGTGATTATCAGATATATTTGCTGCTCAGTTGCGCGCCGGTGCAGGGGCATATTGCCGGCATTGTGGATATTCCAAATGCTTGCACTACGCTTTCGGTGCCGATGGATATCTTTGATTTCGATATTCGGCCTGAGGCGGATGTGGTCAAAAAGCAGATGGGCGCTTGCGCTTTCGTGACAAAGTAGGACACTCGGAAATGGAAGAGGCAAGATGAAGATTCTGGAGATTGGTTTGTTTGGATATTCAAATCCACCTCATTACATTATAATGTGATCTTTCTGTGATCAACGAGGTTGAAGCAGTCCGCAATATATTTTGAAATGCGACCAATGCTTTTAACCATACATAGCGTATGGTCTAGACCCAGTCGTAATAATACTACGATCTTCTAGAAAAATGTCCTGTCAACAGTAGGTCGTACTTGAAATATGTGATTTGGTACTTTTTGAAGGCAATGTTATTCCCGATTATTCGAGTAAAGCACTTTAAGCCTGACATGCTATGTCACAGGGAGTCTACCATATGGAAGGTTACGGTATGGATTTAGCACAAGGAACAAGGCACATTGCCTGAATGATGTGATATCATACATCATGGGTCATTGTTGAATGAGCAGACCACGTCGTGAATCGTGATGGGAACAAAAGGGAAATGGGAATGAATCGGTTTCAGACCGTTTAAGAGAAGAACTTCTTGGCAGCGGCCTTATCCTTGGCCTCCCGATCCTTGACGGTCTTCTTGACCTTGGCGATCTCGTTGACGATACCAGCATCACCAGGAGCCAGCTTCTCCGCTTCCTGCAGATCCTTCAGCGCGGCATCCTCCTCCTTCAAACCCTCGTGGGCAACAGCGCGGCGGTAGTAGGCCTTGGCCTTATCGGCATCCTTAGCCTTGGCCGAATCGGCGACTTGAAGCGCATATGTGGCCCAGTTCTGAGCCTGGCGGAACTTCTGGAGCTTGTTGCCAAGCAGGGAAGAGTTGGAGTGCAAAGCGAATCGGAGTGCCTTCATCTGCTCGCCTAGCTCCTTGGGGTCATTTTCCTCGGGTTCGGGGAACTCGTTCAAATAGCGTAGACCCTTTTGGTACTTGTCGAGACCCAGGTTGAGATCACCGCTCTTGAAAGCAGCGTTGCCGAAACCCTTGAGGTCGGAAGCGATCTTGAAGCAGAGAGGCGCAGTAAGGGCCTCTCCCTGGTGATCCTCGGTGAAGTCCTCGTATGGGTCGCCTGTCGCATCCTGCTGGCGCTTGGTCGCGTCCTCGTAATCCGCACCAGAAAGCTCGCCGCAGTCCACGATAGTCACGTCCTGGAAGGGCTTGTCGGACTGAGTCTTCATGTTCTCGATCTTACGAATCACACTCTTTCCGTTAATGACCTCACCGAACACGACGTGCTTGCCATCGAGGTGGGGAGTGGGGACGGTGGTAACGAAGAATTGACTGCCGTTGGTGCCGGGCCCGGAGTTGGCCATGGAGAGCAGGAAGGGACGGTCATGCTTGAGGTCGAAGTTCTCATCGGGGAACTTTTCGCCGTAAATCGACTCGCCGCCGGTACCGTTGAACGCAGTGAAGTCACCACCCTGAATCATGAACTGCTTGATCACACGGTGGAAGATTGAGCCTGAATAGGGACGCCGCGGTTAGTAGGCGCCAACGCCATGGGAGCGGGGTATTTCAGACATGCCTTTGTAGGTCAATTCCTTGCCCTGGGTGCCAATGCCTTTCTCGCCGGTACACAAAGCTCGGAAGTTGTCCGCGGTCTTGGGGACAACTGTTGCTGTTGTTAGCCATGTGCAAATTGTTAAGGGAAAAAAATCATGTCGTACCATCATTGAACTGTGTGACGCCCAGATGTTAGATGCAATCCAGACTCGGCATGTAGAGGATGCGGGTAACTTACTAGCTCAAATGCAACCCGGTTAGGCTCGCCGTCACCGATTTTAATGTCAAAGAAGACACGGGAGCCTGCAAGCTTGTCAGCAACTGGACTCAATCCTTGCATTCCGCGGGTAGATAAACCCCGCACTGAACGTACGCTGAGCTGTCGCCATGACTGGAGTTGAGGGAGAGAAATTTCAAAAATGGAAAAGAATAGAGGAGAGAAACAAAGTTGATCTGGTAGAGAGGTGGAGGAGAGAGAAGTCAGCGTTGTGGGGGAGTCCGGCGCTTGCGGTTCAAGAAGCTTCCATTGCGGGCACCCCAACTATGCTCGGACCACGGGATTTGTATAGAAGTTGTATTGGAGTATCTGCTAACATCTATTTATGTATGTTGTATAAAGAATTACTCTATCTTTACTTCTCTTTTTTTCATTGCAGCAATTCAGCAGGAATTTGGAATTCAAAAGATCCCTTAATTTCCTGTTCATTGGACTCTTTGTCTCCATTTTTCTGCTCCTTGGGTTCCTTTTTGGGAAGATTGGTATTGATTTCGATTGTGACCTAGAATGAGATCAGTCAGTATAGATTCGATGTCTGCGAGGAAAGGAACTGGGAAGTCAAAATGTACCGCCGCGTCCTCGCTGCAGTAGTCTATACCCACCGGCCCATCGTTCTTCAGTTCGACCTCCATCATGGCTTGGAAGACACCATTCTTGACTCGGTCTGGAGTATAGCCTTCCCGCATCTTATCATAGAAGAAGTCATAGATTTTGCGTGCAGGTTCGGGACCAGCTGCATCATGAAAGTCAGGTTTGTTTCCTTTCTTCATTTTCGCGTAGAGGGTGAATTGGGAGACTAGATTAGACAACAATTAGTATTCTTCAGCAGTGTTCCAGGTAGATAGTAAGATGAAGAAGCATACTACATAGTACTTCCCCCTCAATATCCTTAACATTCTTTTTCCACTGTGACAATGTCAGTTGCTGGTCTCGCATATAGTTATTTGACTTACTTGTACTCCGTTCTCATCAGGCCAGAATTTGGCCTTCAGCACCTTGTTCACGAGGTTCTCGGCATCCTTCTCGGTATCTTCTTTACCAATGCCAGCAAATACAAGAAGACCCTTGCCAATAGAGGAAACCAACTCCGAATCGACTGTCACAGATGCCGATTTGACTCTTTGGATAACGACTGAAGGGTATTAGTTGATTTTGGTGTATAACAGAGGTTCATAGTTTCTAACGTTTCATTTTGGGTGACCTATAGATTTTTGATTCTCGTCAAAATAAGAAACAGCTGGGTTGAAGCTTGGGTACATACCCGCGTCGTAGACAAAATAAAGGCCGGTGATAGCGCTGGCACAAACTATTGTC